CCTCTCTCAGAAAATCAGCGCCCTGACCTCCTAACATCTCTGATGAACACGTCTCTTTTATTGCACCTGCCACGGAAAATGCATCTTTCCAGATCCTCTTCAAATGTCCCACGCCTGCCAACGCTTTTGGACATGCTAGAAAACCCTCACGTTTTGCTCACTTTTGACAAGGTGCACAATCCCTTGTGCCGGCCACGCAAAACCACATCTGAACGTCCAAAAGTGCTCCGAGCCCGTCAGTTTTTAACACTTTTGGCTTCGAAATGTAATTCGCGCCACAACGCCGTGCACTTTTTCGACATCCCAAGTTCCAAAAGTGCTCGGAGCATGGTGTCCGTTGTGCATTTTGACTTGGAAATGTGCTTCGTCGACATCTCAACTTCCAAAAGTGCTCCGACCCCGGTGTGTTTGTACATTTTGACTTGGAAATGTGCTTCGCGCCACAACGGCCTGCACTTTTTCGACATCTCAACTTCCAAAAGTGCTCCAACCCTGGTGTGTTTTGTACGTTTGACTTGGAAATGTGCTTCGCGCCACAACGGCGTGCGCATTTTCGACATCACAACTTCCAAAAGTGCTCCGACCCTGGTGTGCTTTGTACATGTTGATTATTTTGACTTGGAAATGTGCTTCGCGCCACAACGGCGTGCAATTTTTCATTTCTCATCTGGCCACATGGCTCCGCACCTGCCGCTTTAGCGAGCCTACTCTTCGACCCTCCCGAGCCACAAATCATTGGAAAAACACAGTGTTTCGCGACTTTCCTACCTTTTCGCGCGCCTGCATCTTCTTTCTTCTCACTCTTTCTCTTCTCTGATCTTCTCTTCTCTGACTCTTCCCACCTCTGCTTTTCCATCTGTCCCTGTTGTCGGAAGTTTGACTTCTAAGATCTTCTGAGATCTTCTAAGATCTTCCAAGAATCATGCAGTTCTGCAACACCGGAGGTGTCTAGAGATCGTGCCTGACGTGGCTCATGTCAATATCCACCACGGCATCTACTCCAACCTGCGATGCACCAGGATGCTGCGGCAACTGAGCTACTGCGCCATGAAGCAACGTGTAGCAATGTGTAAGATACCACTGTGGCATGGGTCGGGTCAAAGCATTGCCTCTTTACCTGGTATCTTCATTTCACTTCTGGTATTGATATGTAATTATTGATTATCTGGGTATCATCTGGGTACATCTATGATTCTCATCTGCGCAACACTGTCTAACTATGTATTGTATTTCTGCATATTTCATTTCGAAGATCTCACATCGAAATATGTTGAAAAGCCGTTTAGATGTGGCCACAGTGTGGCCACAACCGCCTTGTCCAGGTTCTCGGCCATGTTGCTGCCAACCTATCCACATCTTTCCGGCTGAAGCGATGTGAAAACATTCCAGCAAAATGATGCAAAATGGAGAAATATGAGAAATGATGAGGAATGAAACCAAAAGACAAAACAAACTGGTTGGATAACGACATAAAGTCAACCAGTCAAAAATGCAAGCCTTCGTTGGTCAAAATGAACTAGTCATGACAAGTCTATTCAAAACAAATTGATCAATAGCCATCATGTTGGGGGCAACTTTGAAGACAAAACATAGGGCCCATTAGGGCCCACTCAGGAATCATAGTAGCTTCCTACCTCCATCTGCTTGTATCTCCTCCACGTTTGGACTTCCATTGGTCTGAAAGGTCTTGGAAGACCCGGACATAAACAAGCCCATTTCGGAATCCTGTTACAGAGATTCCTCGACTCCAGACCAACTGCAATCTGGTGTGCTGCTTGAAAAGATGGCCTTGAGAGCTACTTCCCATGCCGCACTTCCAGCGCGCATTGCAGCCTGCGCCATGTCGCAGCATGCTTGTCCACAGAATCCTTCAAACTACCATGATCAAATCGTGCAGAAAGCTAGCGATAGGTAAGAGCATTTGAAGTCAGCAAAACACTGTGCGAGATTGTTGCCTTTGCTACCCGTAATATGATGTCCACGTCATGCCTACAGCTCTTGAATTTCGAAACTTCTGGCAACGAAGGCGAGTTTCAGAGGTTGTACCCATAGTCGTCCCACAACTGCCACGGAGTTCACATGCCGAAGACTCTACACATTGCTTTCTCAGACCTTGCTGCTTTGGCAGTATGAAATTGCTTGTGGTGTTTACTGCGCAGGCCAAAAAGAAAGCACAAAATGCAACCATCATTCTTCGTGATCAATCGAACATATCAAAGTGTGCATCAGCACATTGTGGGAATGTTAGCAGGAGGAAATGGCAGAGTCTTATGAGGGACCAGGATGGACCAGGATAAATACAAATAAACAGTATAAAAACACCTGAGCGTCGAAGGCTTCCGCGATCTTCGCCAGGTGCTGTGCTGCTGCGACATCGGTCGCAGGCTTCCGGCAGTGGGGGCATTCTGGCCTTCCGGTGGCAGAGAGAATCTCTAATCATCTCTAATCTTGGACAATCTCTGGGAATCTGAGAAACTGAGATGAACTGAGGAAGTGGACACGGCATGACACTGATGTTTTCCCACTCGTCAGACCACTTGGATGGTTGGACTCAAAAAGTTTTTTTTTCAACCCTTGTATGACGGATGGAAAGGACGAGGAAATACACATGAGCTCACACCTGGTGAGCAAAGGACAAAACACTTCCGCAAAAGGGGGAGTCTAGTCAAACTTTTGGACCCTGCTGGTGCTTGTGGCTTGCAGTGTCATTCACTTGTCTGTATTTCTGCACACTAAGCGCGCATACTTCCAGAATCCCCACAAAGACCAAACATTTCCTTTACCACGCTCACAGTGCTCTCACCCAAACATGATCTTTGCTTTCTGACTCCTATATAGCACAGGGAAGCAAAAGTCCTCCCTAACTCAAGATTTCTCTCAAAGCCTCAATTAATGAAAGACCATTGACCATTGTATGACTTGCATTAGACGCCTTCCTGCGGTCCATCTCAATCCATCCCAGCCCTGCAACCCTCTTGGGCTGTCTTGGCTCTCCGGCTTTTGTAGTTTCACCAAACAATGAACGCAAACGCTGTGATAGCACTGCTTGCCTGGGAGCGAATCAAGTGGAAGGCGAGAGTGGTCCAAGCTCAGTTTCTCTGGGCATCTCCCTTGCCAGTTGCCCTCTGAGACACAGTTTCTGACCGTTCCAGGAATCCACAATGTTTGTATTTGACAATCTGATGTTTGAAAATCAAGTTCCATGTTCCTTATGCTCTCCAGGCAAGTTTTGCATTAACATGATTTAACATGGGAGCTGCTGACGACGGAGAGTGAAGAACAAAGGCCAGCTGCTGCGGCCAATCCTGCGGCCCTTGAAGCAACTATTTTCATGTTCGGTTCAACACTGGCCACAACTTTTGGGCATCTTGGGGCCCCAAACAAAAGAATCCAAAGTGACCCGACTCCTGAAAACCTCATTCCACGTTGCTGCTTGCGAATTGTATCATTGTATTGTCTTTGCCGCAAGATGTTTTCAAATATCTGTTTGGAAGCGCTATCAGTTGCTGAAGAGGAACATGCCAAACTGTCAATAGTATATAGTTGGTTGCGATCAATGTGACATTCAAAAGATTCCTACTCAAGCGTTTTGCCGCGAGACTCCTCTTCAGAAGCACATCTACACTCAGACCTGATCATACATAATGGAAGAAAACAACACCTACATGAGCTGAGCGCGCAACACACAACACAGTTTCGCAGCCTTGCGACTAGCCGAAATGGAATGTTGGTCTAAGATGAAAGTCAGGGAACTTCAACAGGAACCAATAAGAACCCACTCTGAGGCCTTACATATCAATACCCATGATGGCTGCTCTCCAGTTCAAGCCTACATGCTCCATGTATGGCACAATGTGCCTACATTTGGGTCACATTTGTTGGGTATTTGTTTAGAAAATAAACTACCATACATGGAACATATAATATATAGGAAAGGATCCAGGAACCTTGCATCCTGAAATTATCTGAAATTGCTATCAACATCAATACGTTTTGTGCCTGTCGTCCTTCGGATCCAGCAGAATCTGCTGTTCCAAGTCGCTGCCGATCTGCCATGGTCATGCTTTGGTATGTTGAGTCTTGCAATCTGCAAAATGTAATACTCAGGATTGAGCATCCAAAAAAAAAAATGACATTCTACAAACACGTAGAGAGACCAAACAACTGTAAACAACGTCTCTTCCTGATGAGACGCGATCGGATGCACTCTAAAGTCGCTCTAGGTACTTCAGGCAGAAAGTACATAAGTCAAACTTTGGGAAGTGTTTGATCAATTGAAAGGTTTTTCATGGTTTTATCGCACTTTTTTCACCTTTATGTTAACGATGAGTTTCAACATTGCTGTACCTCAAGCGTCGCGACAGCTGTGATCTGTACAGCTCTGACCTGGATTCCTTCAACAGCCTGCACCACCTCCTGACAGCAGTGGCCAGGCATCACACTGCACCCAAAGTCAGAATACAACGACGAGTCTATCGACGAATCTATCTGATTTTTGTAATATATGTAATATTATGTAATATATATATACCCTAGGGTTCCCAAGACTATTGTAAATATAGTCGCTGCCCGAACACCGGTTTCCCAAATAGTCGCTCAGATTCACGCCCAACATTTTGATAAGTCATCCTTTGGTGGTCAATTTCACACATGGCATGATGTGTTGATAAGACCCCTTTGGAACATCTAATCCCTTGAAAGTGCATCACCTCTTTTATACGCGGCCCCGTGCGAATCTAGAGCGTACTTCCCGGTTCAACCTTAGTTGGACCATCAATGCCATCAGCCCTGATGATTGGGCATAGTTGCATGCACATGCTATTGATATCGATTGCATGCATAAAAATATGCAAATGAATTAAGATGGCCAAGTAGCTGCTTGACCTTGAGTTTTGTTGCCCAAATCCTGAGGTCAAAGCCAGCTGTTGCCCGAGACACTCTTTAATCCCAAATTAGACATGATACTAGGCATGTCTGTATATCTTTTTCAGGCTAGCCACCTCATTCGCCCACATTTGGTGATCCAACTGGCACGGTGGTGAGGATGTGCTTTCAGAAATGTTCCTGAGCTACGATATAGATGGACCATAGGGGCTTCAAAACTGCAATTTATAATCCCAAAAATTTCAGCTTCAATATATAATGGATCTAAGATGCGTTTTGTCCAGGCCATTGCATCCTCATCAACAAAGCAATGCCAATATCTCGGGTTGCTACCTCAATCAATCCATGGCAAAGGAAATTAGATTAGAATTGACCATCTTGTTTCAGTTCTGTGCGGCCCCTAGGATGGACCCTGAATCAATTTCTAAGAGGAAAAGGTAACTGCATGCAGACTCTACAAAAAACAACCTGTGCAACTTGCTTGCCAAAGGGACGCCGCCGGCGAGCGGAGCGTAGAATGTGCCATAGGCCCTCAGAGTAGGATAGTTTGTTTATCCCTTTCTTTAAGTTTCAACACCCGAGCCAATTTACCACCAAGTGGCATGTACCTTTGGAATAATATGCCATTCTTGCAGCCGTCTCCTGCACTGCCCGGCCATTGCCCACATTTTCTTCAGCAAATGCATACATGCATGCACATTGCACATGCGAGCACCCATGCAGATATAACAAAAATTATCATCATGCCATTAAAACATTGCTCGCAGCAGATAAAAACACTGGGACTTGTTTAGTTTTTGGATGGATGCACAACATACCAGGACACAAAACGAAGACCACTCCTCAAAGACACCTGTGCCAGTTGTAAATAAACACGAATGAACTGCCGTCCATCATGGAAAATGGATTCAGCCTCTTCATCATTCCTAGGTTGTGTTGCACAAACAATGCAACTCTAGCCAATCCCATTTCAGACTATGTAATGGGCCCAAACAATAATTTAAGATATAACATATTATTACACAAACAAACTTGGATGCCCATTATTTGTAAAATTTGAATGCACAACCCAGTGACAAACGCATCACACAACATCAGATTACTATGAACTGTCTATTTTTTTGAATCAGGCACAAGGCTGTTTATAATTTCTTTGGGGGATCAAAGCAGAAACAGTGTAGCCCATGGCTAGTGCATTACAAGGGTCAAGAATCTGCCAGCCTTCTCAACATTCAGCATGAAGCGGGCCAAGTGGAGCCTCGTGTGTTGGGTCTGGGATCTCAGATGGGTACTTGGCAGGAGTAAATTCACAATATAAGATCGCCAACCTTATTCCAAAAATAATTTATGGATCCATCATTGCATTTTTCCTGATGAGCAAGAACCCTACAATGCTTTGCAGTGCCATGCAGAACAAGGGGCTTTCATATCCCTGATATAAGTTACCCTACGAAAAAGTCGAATTGTATCCTTTTGATAAACCAAGAGACATGCAAAGTGCCACTGGCGCAATGCGATCATCATACTGTTCACCATTCCGTTGGGAAACTTCTGCCACCGTTTCAGCTAGCCACTGCGTGACAACACGTCCATTGTAGGCTTTGCAGACAAGTTTCACATCACCATTGCGCTGGTACAACTTAGTGCAACAACCAGGAGTCTTAGGTAAGCAGTAAGAACACTTCTACCATACGACTCAGGCAACACTCACAATCACCACTAAATTAAATTAACAGAAAAGAACCAAGTAACTTGTTTTGGCTGAAAAGCAGGCTGACTGCATGCAATTCTACTTGCCGAACACCAGGACTTGAAGGCCAAGTATGCTCGGTGTAGTTTGGCTTGCAAGCTGTCAGCAGGATCTTCCCAAATCCCAGTTGATAGCAAGAGGTGCCTGAGAGAATCTATGAACAGGACCAGCAACGAACAACATGCATGCAATCTGAGTTCATTCGCGAAAACATAAAAGCTATTACGCGCACATCAATCGCCAAGCGCATCAAGCATTGTTAGCCAGTTAGCCATATTCATTGGCCGAAGCATGACACAGTTATTTCAAACACTGAAATGATCTTCAATGTGTGCAAAGCAAGAACTCACTTGTGCATGTGTATTTGGCAACTTCAGGCACACACTCAAGTAGTGAGATATTTGCTGGCCAGGGACATTGTTCCACCATTGACCACGTAAAGGATGCCTAGGTGAAGCACATGCATTAGGCACCAGCGAATGCACGAGGGATGGAATCGGCGAAGCCCAACCAGCGGACCTGAGCAAAGAGGGAAGCCATTGGTTGAAGTACATCACCCAAGTTGATTGATTGGTTAAGGAGGCATGACTTTATCATGAAGCATCACCTCAAGTTCACTACAAGTACCTGAGTTTGCCATGGCAATCTGCAAAGCAATTACACAACAAATTTTCAAACATTGACACATAATTTGGCAAAATTCTTCCACTGCTTCAGGGATGGTTGAATCAATAGAAGGCTTTTTCTCGATCTCTATGTGTCATTATCTTAATCTTGGAATGGTGTTGAATTGAAATTGTCCTTTGGGAAAAAAAACATCCAATCAGAAAAACAATTCTCAGCTGAATTCACAGTAGAATGTCAGATTTGCCGAGCCGGCATCTTACGAGCCAGGAACTGGGCCAACGAAAAATCCATATGATTATTCGTTTCGATGTTGTAATACATCTCTTCCCAGCAATTGGAAATTCCTTTTGCAGTGCATTGGTGACATATTTCCCTTCCATTCCATTGGGTCTTGTAAAATCTGAAGATCTTTTTGTGAAAACTCCAGTCACCCCTCAACTCCGTCACCTGAAACTTCAACAAATTGGAAGTGAGAGGTTGCCCCGCTCGTTTCAAAGCAGCACCACTCAGGGGTTCACCAAGGTGCCCCACTGTGGGGAAGTACCCGTAGAAGGCATGGTTTGCACTCCAACATATGCGGCGTAGAATGGCTGGGATAGTAGCACTTGTCAGTCTTTCCTCTGAGATAGCACAAATCAAGAAGCGGGACCATCGTACCGAACGTGGCCGCCACAGCACAATGTTAGCAAAAAATGCCAAGATGTGCTCATACCCAAAAGCTGTGTCCACGCGAGCACTATCACCGTATATACCAATAGGTATCAAATGGCTCATTTCTTCATCACTAACTTCCTGTGCCCATTCCTCTCCGACATCCTTTGATTGTTGCCAGTACCCCAGCAATGCAGACTCTGGAATATGGATCTTTCCTTCTTGGAACAGGAATGCCATGGTGTCATGGACATCAACAATGGGCCAGCGCTCGAGCTTGATGACAGTTCTGCCATTAGCATCGAGATACTTCACTGGCAAATTGATGTAAGATATATCCTCAATCGCAGAATGGCTGTCCTATCCGAATCATCCCTACTTGGGATCATTACTGTAACTCCCAGACTGGACGATAAAACGTAGCACTTTGGAAGGAAAAATGATGCCAAGGGAAAGGGGAAAAACAAAGAACAATGATATACTACAAATGGCATTGATCAACAAACATCTTTTGTGATTACACAGGTATTTTGTTTAAGTTTATTTCTTTATCACCAGTGTTTGGAAAATATGTTCAGCATTTGTTTTTGTAATTGAAGTGAGCCCATTGTGGGCACAGTCATTTACTATCTATGATCATGAACAAACAAATCCCCCAAGGCCAGGGAAGATAGCAAGATTCTGGGCCACCAGATAGATGCCTCCACCAGTCTCTGCTCGCATTCTTCAATTTTGACCTTCCGAATTTCCTCGCTATGTCTCCCAAGTAGAGGTCTCCAGTATCCTCAGAATGCACACTTGGATGGAATCAGAATAATAATAATCCAAAGGTGGGGAGGTCAGACCAACAAATATGAATATGGTTTTCACAACGATCATATTGGTTTGAATTGGTTTGATTTAATGATTTTGGTTGATCATGTAACATGACATACACCATATATTATAACATGTATCTTTGTTGTTATTTTATGTTTTATCAAATATATTTGACACATGCATATGCATATTTCGCAAAATATAATGGTGTTTGATCACAACTAATTTTGATATTGTTTATCTTTTAATTGCTTGATGTTTGCTAATGAATTGTGCACATGTGTGGGTCAGTAGCTATAAGGGTATATTTTATGGCAGGTGCCACTGATCATTCCCAGTAGGCTGGCTTTGAGGGGATTGCCAGCTGCCGAGGCTCCTCCACATGAGCTTGAACTCCACGCATTGCTTTGCCCACGGTGTCAGACTCAGCAATGGCAGAGACAGGTTTGGACCAAGAGTGGAGTGAACATTTACCAGTTTCAAATTTGAATCCCTGTTTAATAATGTCCTCGTTAAGTCAGACCAGTGAAAGTTCTTTGAAGGCTTGTCATATGATTTTTTGCAAACAAGATCGGCGAGACAGTAAAACCTGAACTAATAGGATTGGGTGTCATGCAATATGTCAGCAAATTGCAATCAGAATCTCCTTTCATTTCTCCATGGATGCAGGGAATAGCATTATACTAAATGCTGGCAAGCATCACCGCTGCAGACATCGTTGATAGCAGTGGTCAGCACAGACGATTCTGCAATAGATTCATCTCTGTCTGCGTGAGGGCTGCATTTTGTTATGGTTTATCACTATCTCATTAAGCTATGTGGATGTAAAATTTATGTAAAAACATTGGGTGATTTTCATCTACAGTTCATGAATTCATTTGTACACCTGTCCAAGATTCAGAGTTTTAACAATCCTCAATTGAACCCATTGATCTTGTCAAATCCTTTTTTGAGCTCGCAATTCAAGCTCTTGTCAGCCATGCCAGATTGTAACGTATTGTGCAATGATGCAAATGAGGCATCGCAAATCATCTCATATCGCACCCTTCCCAAATGATTTGGGGATTTTCCAGGGGTTCATCGCCCTGGTTCATGGAACAGTCATGGGCACTTCAATCCCGGGCCAGCCCGAAAGACACCACAATGGTACAGAAATCTTGCCCCCATGAGCTTGGTGCTGCCATGCAATTCCCACTGGCAACCATGAAGCAAAACATGTTCTATCCAAGTGGTTTGAAGATCATGTTCAAACAAATCACAATTGGATAATGAAATAAATTCATTTAAAGGTCTTGATGCAAAAAATGATGATCATACGATGCAATACAAATGTTTGGGTTTTCACGGCAACAGCAAGCCCCCCCTGCAAGAGGTACTAGCTAAGGCATCTCCCAAGATAAGACCGACATTGGGCCATCGGAAAACTCGGGTTACTTACATAGCGCAGCTACTTCATATTGGAACGGGTCAAGAAATTGACATATTCCTCGATCACCTTCATGGCTTTCTCAATCAGTACCAGCAGGTCTGTGTCCTGGGCTGTAGGAGTCATGTGATACCAAAAAATGATTTTATTTTGGTTAATTAACATAAGATTTAAGCAGGAATTACAACACATAGCATGAATAGACACAAATACTATAACACAACATCCCTTCTTGATTCTGATGAATTCCTGAGAAAAATGGGGCATCATTTTAAGTATTCCTTGATGGGGGCAAATCCTACATACCGTGCAAAAAGATCAGCTAGGAGTTGCCATACCCTGTAAGCTGACTAGTGTATTACAAAAGCAAGGCACATCCCAGGAATCCACCTTTTGCTGAAGCTTTCCACGTAGATCACACATGGCATTCTTCTTCTTGTTGAGGTGGCCAGCAATGGCATTCTTCAAGTCTGGCGCCCTTAGCAAGCAGATTCGGCACAGGGAGTTCAGGATTGGTTGGGTGATGTTGGGTTTTGGATTCCCTTTCTGAATTTAATGAGCATTACATTGGTTTCCCAAATTTTGAGTGTTGGATAGGTATGGTTATGATCATGTTTAAGATAGAACCAAATAAGCAACTTAATTCATGTGTTATCCCAAGTGCATCTACAATAATCATGCAGTATTTAAAAAAAAAACACATTTCAACAATAACAGCTGTAATGTTGATACATTATCATCCCAGGATATGAACGAAATGGCATTTGTGTTTTGTAGATTGATGGGCACATTTTTAAATTGCATCTAAGACTAAGCTAATACATAAAAGTGAACATGAAAATAATCCAACTTTGCATGCTTCACTGCATGGAACCTGACATTAATGCAATTCATCATCATGAAAGAATGACCGGTTTCAAGAAAGATGTTTGAGTTTCATTTCAGAATGATATCGAAGTGTATGACATTTATTGCTTTGCAAAATCAAATTTTAGTGGATGAACCATGGGAGCTCATATCAATCTCATTGTAGGTCTGTTGTTGGTGAAGGCAATGTTTGTTGGTATCAATATTAGAAAAATATTATTGCCAACCAGGCAATTACATATAACATCACAAGAAAACTAGGCGTGACTCCTGTCCCTCCCAAAGCATGCTCAAACATGGAAACAAAACTCAGTAAAATGATAACAATTTCGGCAAACCATCATTCCACATATATAATATATAATATAATGAAAGGGCTGACCTTAAGAAAAGGGCTGTGGGATGCTGCGGGTTTATTGGCCACTAGGGAAAATGTCATGGTTTGTCTCTTGTATGATCCAAGATTTCTACAACATATTAGGAACAACATGTTTTGGTTCGGGGGAAGCAACAGATATTTCATATAAGATCGATTGCCATCGACATCTTGGCAAACATACTAATAACATTATATTATATTACATAGCAATTATGTTACATAAAATATAATATATAACTGTAACAATGTTACTATAACTATTTCGATCAATATTAATACTATACAGTAAAGAGTAAATATGATGAGGATCTACTATACTACAAAGCTACCTTGGCCTGCCACCAGCTGCAATACCACTTGCCACACACCTAATATAATAATATATAACATGTATGTAATATGTAGATATTATATATTTATTATGTATATAATATATATAATATTATATTACAATATGCTATATTATATTTTATTTTATTGTGCAATATTCTATTATTTTCTGTTTTATTTTATCAAACTAAATTAAATTAATATTATATTATATGTTATTATATTATACTATTTTATTATTAATTATTATGTTGTATATATTATATTGTATTATATATATTGTAAACAGAGAGTACACAGGATGTTTCCTGCTATACTTCATCGGGCCAGCAATTTTTTTTGTCTTACCATATAATTTCTATATGATCAGTTCATATGTAATTACCATACCTGTTAACCATCCAGCCAGCCACGTGCCATTCTGAGGCAACCGACAAATTGCCCAATGCCTTTTCGCGACCCGAGGCGTCCACAATCTTGTCATTCAATTGGGACATGGCCTGGAGGGACCCGGATGAACACCAAACAGATATCAACTAGTTCAACCCACATATTAAACGCAATTGTATGTGTAATATATAATATAATAAAATATAAAATATTTTGTATCTTATCTCCAACTATTTTTGTGGGTGTTGATAGTACACTGGTTTGCCAATTTACTAAGTTTGGCTTGGACATTTGAGCATGGGCATTGTCATTGGTCAACAACTGTGATCTTGCTATGACCAATAAGAATTTCATACAAGCTTGATATACCTATGGCACCCCAATCCCAAACAGTTGAACTAAATCAGAACCAAGTAACTTAAGACCTTGTGCCCAGGGTGTACTCAAATAAGGATATTATCACATTTTTTTTGGAGGATATTGGATCCCACTTCTGACATGAAATACAACTGATGGGAACACTATAATATTTTCCGGACATGCAAAACACAATGATTTTATCAAAGCCAAATGTTCATTTGTAAAATTGTTGTGTTCAGTATGCTTTCATTCAATGATCACCGTGCCTCTTTCCTTCAGAAACTTATTTGTGTCATCGACCCAAAACTTCCGGAAAACGATCCTGCCTTTTTGGCTTTGTTGAACAACTCTTTTTTTCTTTCTGCTCTTCACGCTCCTTCAACTTTGTCAGCTTGTCTTGCTCTTGTTTCAAGCGTTTTTCTTTCTTCTCCTTGGTTTCTTTCTTCGGGCCTTTCTTGCTTTTCTTATCTTTCTTTGACTTCTTCTTTTTGTCCTGACCAAGAAAACACCCAAGTTTGGTTGGGCAATGGGTCTGAACCATGGTGCAGGCTGCTCAGCTGCTCGACATGACAAGCTCTAAAGTTTGAATCATTCAGTCACACTGACTAAATGCTACATGATGTAGTGACTGCTGCATGCACACATGCATGTTCAGGATGCAACATTATTGTGACAAAATAACGAACATTCCAACAACACATTACAACACGCATGGATGCATGAACTTACAAATGTCATTACCAAGGTGCAGTGGACAGTGTGTGTACATGAACAAGGCATATGCCTTTTTATGTAATACACATTTGCATACCCTTGCAAAGGCAATACAGGCATGCAAACCTTAATTAATATATGAATATAATTGCTGCGCCTTAGCCTTCGCAGAGGATGATCCAGACTCATCAGAGTCCGGCGAGCCGGAGCTTGACTGCTTCTTTCTTTTCTTGTCCTTCTTACTACGCTTTGCAACTGCACGGCCACGACCATGACCACCACCACCTTCACCACCACCATTGTCATCATCATCGCTGCTGTCGTCAGTGTCTGCAGCACTGAACAAATCTTCGACTATAGTGTCAGTGACCTCACTGATTCCCTCGGAATCCCAAACCAAAAAGAGCCGCATCGCCTGCCGTAGCAGGGACAGAAAATGGCAGTGTCCGGGAAGTAAAGGGCTGAGACATAGATCCATGCTGTGGTAATTGGACCCCATCATGGAAAGAGGATGCATGCATACCAGAAATATTAATGCCAGCTCTTGTCACTCTTGTTGTTGGGGAAACCAGGCAGGGTCATGTTTTCTATAATGTGTTTTTCTACTGTAACTTATCTGTGCAGAACAGAGTTGGTCTAGCACAATGTTGGGAATCAACATAACGAGGTTCTCTTTCATACAATGACATTGTTCGGTGCTCACACAACACATCATAACTGTTGTTTGTGGGTTATATTCCTGAAGTTATGATTTCAGCATGTCCCACACTATGACTATTATGTATATTGTACATGCATATATAACAATATAATAAGTAGAATGAAATTCCATTCATACAGGTTGATCATAATAAAGTAAACCGTGTAGAAACCATGAAACACTGATCAGTAAAAATGTTGCTTAAACACACAACCCCCACTGGAAGTCATGCCCTGTGGTGCCTCCACACCGGGAGCATCGGGATGCTCCTTGGTATGGCTTTCCTTCAGCTCAGCGTCAGCCAATTTGCTGTCACAAATGGCAGCTGCCATTTCATCACTTCCGTACTTTGCAGAGATTTGGGATCGGGTCAGCCAGACCCGACATCCATGTTGGGATGTCCTCTTTCGCTCAGTAATCTTCGTGTAAAGTTCGCTTCGTGTCCAGTTGCCAGCGCAGGCTGACCAGGCATCTTGGAGTATTTGCAGCCTGGCACTGCCTGGGGGCTCAGTCTGTGGTTGCCACAAAATTACGACCCAATACTTGCATACGATTCACATATTATATATATTATATTATATTATATTATGTTATATTATATTATATTATATCAAATATTATATCAAATATTATATCAAATATTATATTATATTATGTTATATTATATTATATTATGTTATATTATGTTATATTATGTTATGCATATATGCATATAATTATGCATATACTATTTTATGTATTATTGATATGCTTTTTTTGAAAGAAATTATTTTCATTATTGATACATGTGCAAGATAAAACAATTGCATATACACTTATATCAATGCATGTATACATATATATATATATAATACACACATGATTGCATATTTGGGGTCATCAAAAAAACATTCATGACGAGCACTGCACATCATACAAAAAATGTTATTTAATGCACATGCATTTGTGAATGCAAATGCAAAACACAAGCAATAATGTGACCAGATCTAGATTAAGGAACATCAATGATTCCAAAATGAAGTTAGTTGATCCGGCCATGAACTTGAACAACCCAAATTATTTCTTACCTTTTTCCGCATCAATGCAACCATAATAATGCTGATGGTTTCTTTACCCAAGCCATCATGGAGGGACATTTGGTATGATATCGCATGCAGGTGGAAGGGAGTTCAACAGTTCACCAAGGCACAGTAAGCAGAGTTTTTGAACACCTTCTTCATCTCTGGTGGGCAATCCCTTCCTCAGCATCACATGGGCTACACATCAAGCAGACCAGCTTTGGAGGAACATGATATCATTCAGTCTCTTACAAGTAGAGTGGAAACCGTGGTATCCATATAAATGATGCTTTTTTGAAATTTGGAGTTCAACATGCCCTGATACAACAAGCAGATATATATAAGCATCTACCAATGATGTAACTAACCCTCACAATGTGACGCACCTTGTTTGCATTTAAACGTCCGAGCTCCAGAGTTGCACCACAAAAAATATAATTAGTGTCCACACCACGATTCCGAGTTCAATGTTTTTTTTTAATACAGGCATTGAGTTCAGCAAAGGGGTTGATACCCATTATTTATAGCAATTAATATACTTAACCCCATGGTGTTAGCTAATTGTGATCGAGAATCGACTGAAACTTCGTGAAAACCTCATGTACCTGGCATGGGCTGCCTTTTGGGCTGATGTTCTTTCTCTCCTCCTCCCCTGGACCTGCTGTTCTTGCTCTGCATTGTTCTGATCGAGTGCTTCTTGTGATTGGCCGGGAGGTGGAGCTGCTGCTTGTTGCCCTTGTGTTGCATTTGCTTGAAGTGCTAGTGCACCTGATGCCACAGGCTGTTGGACTTGTGGTGCAGCCTGTTGGACTTGTGGTGCAGCCTGTGGGACTGCTAGTGCAGTCTGTGGGACTGCTAGTGCAGCCTGTTGGACTGCTGGTGGAGCCTGTTGGACTGCTGGTGTAGCCTGTCGGACTGCTACCGTAGTTGGCATAGTTGCTTGGACTGGTGGCGCAGCCCCCTCGACTGATGGCATTGGTTGGTCTTGTTGTTCCCGTTTGACCTCACGATCAAGTGCTGCTTCCAGGTCTGGCTCATAGGCTTGTGTGCTTGCTGGGCTTGCCAACTGCGATTCTGTGTTTGCTCTCTGCATGTTGTCACTAATTGCCTGCCGGCGAGCTGCGTCCTCTTGTTCATCAGTTCTTGCTGGTGTCCTTTGCTCAACTTTCTCAGGTCCCATGCCATTAGGCATTGCTACTTCGGGTGGTGGCCTTGCTGCTGCTTTCTTGGCTGCTGGCTTGGGAGCCATGGCTGGTGCTGACTGTTGCTTTGGCTGTTCAGCATTTGAACCTGGCATTGTAGAGGCTTCACCTGCACCAACATTTGCATGACCTGGGTCACCAGATCCTGAACCTGTTGGCACTGGGGCATGGTCAGATGGGACAGGTGTGGGTTCACCAGTTGAAGTCTCACTGGCAGCTGGTTGAGTACCATTTTCTGGTAAACCTTCAGGGTGGTGCTGCTGCATTTGCTTTTGTTTCTTTTCTTCCTTCTTCTGTCGTTTTGCCTCACGTTTGTGTTCCTTCTTCAGTCGCTTTCGTTCTGCCCTGTCCATAGGTGCTGCAGGTATGCTTTCTTTTGCTTCAGTAGGATCAGTTGTCTTGCTGGTGGCACCATTTGGCATGTTTTGCTGCTCCAGGTCAGGTGTGTTTGGCGAAAGAACCGGGACACTGTTCACACGAACCAGGGCAGGTCTGACCGGTGGGGCAGGGGTGCCATTGCCTGCATTTGCTGCCCTCAAATCTGCTGCCTTGGCTTCCTGGAAACCTTGACGTGCATGTTCAAGAGCCTCTGTGTCTGATGCTGCCACTGTTGTTGCAGTGCTGGATGCTCCTGCAGCCAGGTCTATATGTATGGGTGGAGAAAACGCAGTGCAGATACAACATAGTAATATTGGCAAATATAATATAATATATATATATTATGGATATAATTATATGAATTTATATAGTTCACTGGTTTCAGGTCCATGATATTTGTTTAACTTTTATATGTGCACATGTTTGTGTGTGTGCATATGCTGGTGTACATGTTGTAGATGCACATGTGCACCTGTGCATGTGTGGTATTTTTTATCATGTGTATGTTAGGCAGATAAACATGTGTATTATATGCGTGCACAACTTGTTTTCATGTTTTTGTTTGCAAAAACTGAAACTATCATGATGTGCAAATAATTTGTATAGTTTGTATTTCATGCATGATACATGGTGCAAAGATTGATCGTTCCCCGAGAGTGTACAAATGAACCATATATGATTCAATAATGTAGTTATGTATGTTTGTGATTCAGTGTTCCATGCTCGCTTTTGTACATCTTGGCAGTGTGAGGTATATGTATCAGAAAATGCATGGCAAGGACAAATAGGAACACACATGTAGTTTTTTTGTTGTACTGGCACACGATCTGAAACCCTGCAGCGTGATCCATGAACATGTTTCTTCACATCAGAAGCTGTAAAGCATTATTATATATTTTCTTTCAAGGTTTGATGGGCCCAGGAAAATTTAGAATTGTTGTTATATTAATATAATATCATGATGAGAAACAAATATATGTAAATATAGCAGTGGTGGTGACACAGCTTGCCAACAATTGCATGCAAACATATTTCCTCCACACTGACCTATTTGTTTATGCCAAACTACTAGCTGGCCAACAAATGTAATTGGATTGTTGCCCAAAATATAATTGGATCTATATCTGCTATATCCAACACTGGATTCAGCATTCAGGATTTCAATATCCACCCGCTAGACAGTATGCAAAAAAAGTGCAGCAGTCCCTCTCTCTCTCTCAGGCAGTGACTGGTTTGCTTGATGGAACAATATCACCTTCATCATGACAATATTATAGGTAAAGCATCTTCAGAAAGATACTATCCCCCTAAGCAACACCCTGAACAATGTGTTAAAAAAACATTCATTACACAGCCCATAGCAAGCAGCAATGTGGTGGGCAGGGTCGCAATTTATACCATATCTATCATGGATTCCTTTTGTGCAGCAAGTCCCAACTTGGCACGAAGAAGGTTTACCATATTTAACTGATTGAGGCATAGTGGTTGCCAGGTATGAGCTAAACATCATAGCCACATTACGGCAGTATAACAAATCACCTTCTGGTACTTTTACTGCATGATTGCCAAGTACAAATCAACATCAGGGGCAATTAAAACTGAGCTTGTACAATTACTATGGTACACTGAATGCATCCTATCCTGCAAATACCAGATGAATTTGCATTTTAATAGCAAAACATGTAAGTCATCAGCATCACACACTCCTGGGAGAAGCTACGCAATCTATAGAGTATAGTATATCCAATAATAATTTATATATATAATATATTACTTAATATAATGTCAATACATTTCAAATGCAATCAACCTATTTTTTCAGGAACAAGGCATTCCAGAACCCATACCCACCCATATAGTATCATCCTGGAGAACCAGCAGTGGTAGAGGTTGGACTGAGACCAGCATCGCCTTTGCTGCATTCAGGTGATACCTTCCCTGCTGCAAGCAACTGCTCTCCCGCTTTCTGCTCTTTCAACCTCGACACATGGCATGAACCAAGGGGGGGCGGACGATGAGCCCAGTGTGATCCTAGGGTTTTAAAGCACCATAATTTTATGGGAATTGTTGAAAACTCTTGACAACAAGTTGAGTCTATGAATGTATGTGAAATTGACAAGGTCAGTCATGGTCAATACCTGTCATGTAAATCTTGTAAGACACGGGGCAGAACTGACAACCAGCCAAACTCATCCTCAGCAAGCTCATGGCCCAAGCCCCTTTCCACAGTTAAACGTGCAACTTCAAGTTCAGCTCGCCTGGCAGACCTTTCGGCAGCTTTTCTCAACAGCCAATCTACTTGAGAAGCCATGTTCACTACAACTGTCACTAGTCAACCCAAAATGCCTCCGGAATGTACAATGCATTGTTCTATGCATGAAATGATCCTGAATATATTTGTGGAGTTTTTCAAAAAATGATGGATTTTGGGCTCATGTCGTTCACGGTCGATAATGGTCGTTCACGGTCGATAATGGTCGTTCACGCACGGTTCACGCAGTTTCACGCAGTTTCACGCTAGCCCTTTTCAGAATCAGAAATATTATCATTTTATATCATTTTTGGGGTTTTGTCAAAATAGTTCTATCCAGGATGATTGATTTGGCATATGCCCAACATACCAGGACATATTCCCTTTTGACCCCCCGAAAGTTGTTGTAGTCCTCAAACTGTGCTCGGTTGGCAACAAGAGCCAGGTCCAGGATGGGCTAAGTAGCACACCGTTTGTTCAGATTACATAGTTTTTTTCTGATAATTATTTCACTGGTTAATTCATAGTAGCCATCCAAGTCCCACACTTGTTTGAATTAAATATTGGCCAGCGGGTACTTTCCAACCACACTGGTTGCGCTGATCAGACAGCACAGCAAATATGGTACCAGTGGCATTCATCTTGACATCATGTCATTTACCACATGTATCACTGGGCCTACACCCAGTTCAACCCCGTTTTCAAAACAGGGGCGTACCGCCCTTCATTAATTGCAACCTTCAAATCCTTCTGGATAGATTCCAATTTGGCATGGCGCCACTTGTAAGGAGCCTGGCATGAAGCTTGATGATCAGGCAGGCATGTTCCTGCTGGTCCCAGGATATAATATAAAGAAATGATATATTATTCATATAAGACATACATAATACAACATTTGCAATAATAAAATATAATTTATAATATATACAATTAAATTCATATCATAAAAACACATATTATATTTTTTATATTAAAATATATTTATAATTTATATATATATAAATTATAAATATATATATTTAATATTATATTTATATATATAATATATATATTATAAATTACTCTATATTATAATATAATATATTAAATATATATATACTATCTAAATTTATATAATATATATATCTCTTGAACAAACATAAATTTCCATCTATATAGACTATTTCTTTGGGGGTGGGGAACAATTAGACTGTCAGGCAATAGCTGTCAGGGTCACTGACTAAATATTCAGCAATATAATGTATATTATATTTTTGCTTAATTCAGTATGCAGGGCCTCTCATCATCTTTACAGGTATATATATTAATATTTATAATATATATTATATTATATATAAGAGAATAGCTGCAGTGGTTCAGATGCCATTGCCGTGCCATGTCTGGCAGAAAAGGTTTTGCAGAGTTTAGGTTCCATCTCTCCCCATGTGACACATATGTCATATACCATTAATAGTCACAATTTGTTGTGGCTTAATTCATTCAGGGAAACTAATTTGATTTAGCCAGGGAAGACACAATAGCCAACATTCCCGACAGTTGACCCTGTATATTAATTGATGGAGATAGTTGATGCCACAATTCCTGACTGGCAAATTGCATATTGATTTCTCGAAATGCATATCAAACAGTACATGTTTTTGCAAAGGTCAGAATTTCCCAATCAATGTTCTATGCCGAAACTATGTTTTATCCCTTAAAACATATCTGATATGATTACAATACCATGAAGACACACCATTTTACCATATACATAACCTCGCACATACATGAAAACCTATTGATTATCACATGGATGGTACAATCCCCACAATCCAGGGTGGGTGTCCAGACATTGGACCTTCATAGGTGGCTCAGCAGCCACTGCACGTTTCTGCTTGTGAAGTCCATTGGCCTGGGTGGCAGGTGGATCATGGGCAGTCAAGGGACCGGGATGGTGATAGAATATTAACATATATTAATTTGATATTATCTGATTGTATATTATTAATATTCATATCATCTAGATATATCAAATGGAATATTATATGCTAAAAAATAGTGAAAGCTTGATAACATTCCCTGGAAATAATGTCAGCACAGCTCTTACCATATCTTACCATATCAGCTCATCATATTGAGGCCAAGGCCATGAATTTTTCATGTTCGCATGCCACATGGCAAGCAAACTGTCGGGGATATGCCGCTGAGCGCTTCATTCCATGGGATCCAGTCCTTAGACCAAACCACTGGGAAACAAATTGATGGTTCCATGGTCCCCAAATGAAAATGCTTATCAAAGAGAAATATCATTTTCAAACATGTTTATGTTTTATCACGTTGCGAAAACATATCACCACATAATAGGGTCGAAGTACCATCCAGTGGCATCAACCAAAAAACATGACGACAATCCACCCAGACTGGATCTCTGACAAATGGTTTATGTTTTAAGTATAATTTCATGTTTTTGATTATAAGTTTATACATACACATATCAAATGTATAGTGTGTCATGCTAGATGATAACAATCACCCTTATTGGCACACGCATAACTACAAATCATGGTCGAGAAACACTTGTTGTTTGCCATCCTTTCCAATAGTCTTTTTGACCATTTGGTATCGCTTTATGGCCTTGTTCTTTTTGATGCGACGCTTGTCTTTTTCAGACAATTTGCGTCTGAAAGATTCCATAAATGGCCTTGGATGCATGTTCAAATTTGACCCTGACTGCTGGCTGGCACTACAGGTGCACTTTCTGAGCATTGAAGCCACATCAGCTATTGCAGGCCAGCAGCACGGTTCCAAAGAGCACAGTTGGTTTGGTGTTAGAATGCCCAAATGCTCCCATGGGACTCAGTGCAAAGGGTTTGCATAACATATATAATATACTATATAATAAAGGGAATGCATTGAGTACAATCCATGAGCCAATAGGCCAAACACATTCATAATAATCTAAACTGCTATACAATATATTGCTCATTTCCCTGAGGTCAGAACAAGCGGATTTTGTTCCACAAGACCGGCTCTATGATAATGGCCATATACTTTACATAGGGGTAATCCAGCATCGTTGATGACCCCGGCTGCTCCCATAAGACTTGGCAACCACGGGCAATTGCGACCAAAGATAGCAACACGAAGCGTGCTGTAATCCTCAGAGTAGGGGCAGCTAGGATTCCCAAAAAGTGCACAGATAAAACAATGTAAACAGAGATTTTTGGGCTCCCATGGCAGTGCTGTGCAACAGTTACTCGTTTAACTATCAACTTTCGACCCACTTAATCAACCACAGCGATCTAGGTGGAAAATATTATCATACAGGGGTATCTGGTTCTATGCAGATAATCATTGCAATACTAATTCACTCAAAGAATCGCATTGGCTGCTCTGATGTAACTTTTAGTAGTGTCCCCAAGGATCCGGGCACGTGAGCGCAGGCTCGTAGCCCGGTTTATCCATACAAAGGAACCACAGGGGGGACCCCCAATGAGGAGCCCCCCTGGACGTAAGCGCAACACCATGAGAAGGATGCTGTAGAAGCCACACCTAGGCAATTCTCAGGACTGGTGCCGGGACCCAGGGTGCATAAATCATGATGAACAGACGAGGTATTTGAATCATAAGAGCCTACAACCATCTTCCACAGTTTGTGTTTTACTTGAAATTATAACCCACGTGGATTGATTGTTCATTCCAGCATTGTTGGGGGAACTAGGATTTCCGAGAGTTATCATAGAAGTTAGTTTATGAGCTAAGTTTGTCAACACGTATTTTCTGTTGAGTACTCTCGCAACAAAAGATATGATGGGCAGTCATTTTTTGAGTCTCTTGGGATGCTGTAATATGGTAGTACAGCTGTATACAGAATTTTCCAGATCCAACAATGCATTATTTTTCTTTTAAACTAGTACAATACTTTGCAGCATGCACATCAACAACACCAAACCAGCTATCATAGTCATCAACCACAAATGCAAAATCTACTGGGTTTCAGCTCACATGCATACCAAGTTTGTCTAAAACAGATTCTTTTCCAAGACCTCCCGAATCCATCCTGAGATTAGGACTCTGATAGGATATCACCCTCTTCACCACGGGATTCCACATCGAAGTAGTCCCTCAGCCGCGACATGCACAGGCCATCAGAAAGTCTTCCTGCCTCTAGGTGGAGCCCTACAGGCTAGATACATGGGTCATGGTGAACTGGTGGGTACCGGTCATGCATCACCTATCCACCTTTGATTAGGGCATCAGCTTATCAATTCCTGTGTGACGAGATATATAAGCCAATTCCCTTTTGGTTGCATATTTACTATGTTGAAACGTACATCACCACAGTGTCACACCCCAAGATGAAGAACACATGTGGGACCACAAGCTGATATAGGCATCCCAGTACCCTCACAAGCATCATAAGGTTGAGAGTTGCATCAGAAAGATTCTGGAACTATTTCATGTCATATATTATATAAAATTATATATATTATATTATTATTATATATAGCATAACTTCACTATAAACAAACAATTAATTGTAAAATATACAAGATGTATAGAACTTTTGTAGAGCACATCTTGTTCTGATGTGCATGCTGGCTGGTACCCCATCAATCTTGGATCCAGACGTGTTTTTCCCTTGTTCACCTGAGAAACAGAGTCATTCATCAGGTCCATTTAATAAACACTTCACTTATGTCCAAGTAACGATCATAGAACCAAAATATACTTGGCTTCAAATGACTCTAAACCATGATTCACCGTTTGCTCACTAGGGTTTGATTTTGCGTTTCAATCAGCAATACTAAGCAAATGTAAATATTATATAAATTATTATATATATAAATATTCTATCAAAGCCCCCCCCCCTCATGGTTGACATAGTGAAAAGGAGAATGGATTCATGTGCCATATTCTTGATCAACATTGCTATGGCAATTTCATACCATCATCAAACAACAAGCTACATTTTAATACCTAAGTTATACTGATTAGGTCACTGCATGAAATGTCAGTAGAATTTCCCATTTTGTTTCGCCGACAAATACCGACAAACAGACTGGGGAACAAACGGAATGCTGCAGTGATTTCTCCTTGGCCACCAAAGGCATCGATGACATCCAGATCCTTGGCCAGCTTGTTGCTCGGAGGCTCAGGTTCTGATGTTTGGCATGAGGCATCAAGGTTTCAACATAATAGTACTGGGATCATTGAATAAGCCACAAAACCAATTCCATCTAATTTCTATGATGAGAATGCGAGTAATGTGGAATTCAAAACTTCTATGTCCTCAAACGATATAGTTACAACAATGCAAAATGTATGAACATATGATAGTGTGATTAGTCCACCATCCATCAATATCCTGCATATAAGCACTTTCCTGCCAAATTCTGACATGTTTGCCAGGCCATGTCAAACTTGATCCAGTCACTGTGAAAGCTCAAGAGTTTACAATTCAACTAATACAAAATGATACTATTAGCTCTGTGTACTTGAAACTGGGTCCCAAGCTCTGTAGCGAAGTGCTGGTGGACTTTGTTGAACCACATAATCGCAGGCATGCAACCTCATCAGCTCATGAGGAACACCCATTCTGGCTGTGCAAGATGCAGAACTAGCAGTGACAGTCATGTACTCTTTTACCTAATTTGTTTACCTGACTTTCTCAGCAGCTTAATCCAACATGGTTTGACTTTTAATAAAGCATGGAAACTTCCATTTGTAAACCCTGCAGAGGTTGGTTACATGATCCTCTTGGAAACAAAAATGGCAAACATGTTGTTGCCATGATTGCAGTAGAGGGACAACAGGAGTGGTAGTCCCCAGCTCAAGAGTATTGCTGCAGTCTTGGCACTAAGAGACACAGGACTAGTTTTCCAGCCCCGACAATTAGCCATGGCTACCCAGACAGCACCTGAGGCGGTCAACCCAGGATCCAAAAGGATCTCACAAGCTTCTTGGCCCAAATCAAGTCCGAAAATCAGGGAGTGTACAGTGGTGTTCTCTTCATTTATAAGACATGCTCTAGGGTTTTTTACTGTGGAACTTTCATAGGTTGCCATTGATGACATGATGTTTGTTCAAATACTGAAGGTATGAGCCAGCTGGGTATGTGTGGCGATGCAGGTCCAACAACATGCTAGCCATGCAAGCACTTCCAGTGCAGAGTCAAGAGGCCTTGCCAATCATTTATAAAATTATTATTCAAAAGTTACTGTAAGGGAGTTTGAAAACGGTTTGCCACTTGACCCATTGGCATCCCAGAACAAAAGATTGTTATTTTCCATTGCACTCTGCCAATTATATCTCAGAATCCACCAGATACTTGAGGTCAGCATTTTTTGTTTGGCTGCTCCCCTGCCCAAACTCCATTCTCACATCGCAGTAGCTTCGAAACTAAATAGGATTGAACCCCAGTATCCTCCAGCCATTGCTGCCACACGGATTGATACAGTAGCCCCAATTTGGATATCATATTTAATAGTGATTGTGGCCATATTAATCAATTATATTTCTTCATTGTATATAGTATAGGGTATATGGATATCATTTCAGCATAAATGAAAATTAAAGGATAGAAAGATCCTGGGACACTTGTCAAATTGCTCCACAATGAGGCAGCGTGCTACAAGCAGCATCCTTGACTGGCACTGAGGTGCCACCATGGGAGTGATGGCCAATGACACATGTCACACAGAATCATGTAAAGATTTATGCAGGCTTCAAGATCATACTTATAGGAATTGTTTTTCAACCCTGCATGTTTCAACAAGCCTAGATTGATCAAGCTGGAAAAAGGGGGCCTGTACATCCCAATTCTTCACTTTAAAATCTTACTAGCGTGGATGCTGTGTGCAATGTGTGGTCCCTGGCTTGCGGAACATTTCAAAATTTAACTCCAGTGTCCACAGTGCCCATTGCTTCTCCAATGTTCTTTCCTAAACACCTGTGCAATGAACAACTCGATGTTTGAATTATTTAGTTGAGAAACCCTAAGGGCCATGAAGAAAATCACCGGAGATTCAATGACAGCTTTTGATAAAACGTAATCGCTACCCTCACATGTCAGTCGTTCTTTTCTGGTGTAGCTTCCCATCCAGCCATGGCCTTTGCCAAAATCCACCTCAGGAAGAATGTTCCCAACCACTGCTTGGTCAGGTGGGCTATGGGATGGCGGGATATCTCAACTTACTTTTCTGTACTATCCTTGGGGTTGTTATATATGATATATTAACCAATGAATTCAAGTATAGTTGAAGCTAAGACAGCGCCATACTAGTGCTTGCATTAGTTCTAACATTCTTTACATTGCCATACATCATCACTCTTTGTTGGACCGCTTGGGCATGGGTACATCTATCCATGTACATTGAACCCAGTAATGCCACCTTTAAACACATATTATAAGAATAGTAATAATAATATTATATATATATATTGATAATATATATATATATATATAATATAATATGTATTATATATATAATATAGAACAGCAGGTTCCCACATATCAGTCCCCAATGTCAAATATCATCAAGTTCAGATTGAAATCACGTTACAACTCTATATGATAGAAATGGTTAAACTCATATATCTATCTTTTGACCTTATCCATGTTTTTTCCGAAGAAGATCTTGTGCAGAAGTAGCTGTGGCTCCGTGCGAATGCTTGCAGCCACCATTGCTGTTCAACCAATGGTGACACCTTTCTTCTGAACCTCCAGCAAACATGCTCTACTAGAAGTATTCAGGTCAGGTTTCCCAAAGATTTACTTGTGGAAGGCAGGGTTGAATATCAGAGTCTTCTTAGTACCAACAGCAAGAGCAAAAGTCCACATTAAGATAACATGCCATTATTTTTTATCTCATAAATATTTAAAATATAGGTACGGAATAATATATTATATACTTGTATTGTAGCTTTCACATTAAGGTTCAATCCTGAGTTGGCCACTGTTCCAATGATAACCCATCACATGTGTTTCAAAACTATTTTGCTTGATGCAGTGGTCTAGGATGCAAACTCCAACCAGTCGAACCATGTTATCTTACAGCCCATACCCACCATAAACCCCACATCACCATGAACCTTGCCTTAAACGAAGCACCCCAGTATTTGTTCACTTTCTCCACCCGTGTGTCCATCCCCTTGCTTTTGGACACATGGAAGGAAGCGGAAGTGCTCCTGGACTGGGCCAGCCTCAGGCAACCATGTGTAAGAAGGAGCGGATTGGGCCAGGTAGAACTTCAAGAAATATTCTAATAGTTTTTTTTTTCAATCTGAAGTAAGTCTAAGCACCCAACAAAACCCCAATCACAGAGCGTTCTTCATCCAGAGCTGCAGCATCTTCCGGAGCATAGAGGGTGAAAGACCTAAGCACGGGAGAGAGCACAATGGTATTAGTGTGGGGATAAACTTTGCTCAAGGGAATGGATGGTCAGGGATCAACTGACATATATCACAAACAAGCAAAATATATGGCAGAGAATTAACTATTATAGTATGAACTACTGGTGGAATGGAATGGAGTAGCTGCCTAGCCTGAGAATGATAAATCACTCAAAGTAGCTGCCACCGGATGTCTTGGGCTGGCACTTCCCACTGCAGATTTCTTTCGGGAGCTGTGACTGTAGCATGTCGTCATTCTTGGCAACTTCACATAGGAGATTCCAGTGGCCTTCCTGCATTTATCTGCTATTTGAAGCAAGGGATGGCTAAGGAATGGTGGCATTGTTTTCTAGCTCAGTGCAAAGAAGCAGGCAAAGAGAAACAACAAAATATTTTAACAGTTGGTTAATTCATGTTGCACTTGATTCCAAATAAGTTTCTATGAGGGGGATCCAATATATTTGCAAAGCTGTAGAAACAGTTGCATGATTATGTGTAGTCCTTGGCTTCCTTTGCAACACCTTCATCCATTTCCTTTGGCTTCTTCACCTTTGCCTGATCACCGGGTTTGCCTTCCAATGCCCTTGCTGCTTCAGCTGCACTGGCTGGCTTGGCAGTTGCCAACGTATCTTTGTCTTTTTTTCATCTTCCATTTCATCCTTCTCCGGATCTACAGCTGCAACATCACAAGTCTTCTCAGCAGTAGCTTTGGCGGATTTGACTTTTCTCTTCCTACGTTTTCTAGGTTTATTTTGCTCACCATCCATACCACTGGACATAGCCCCTGGTTCCTCTGGTTCCTCTGGTTCCTCTGGTTCCTCTGGTTCCTCTGGCACCTCTGGCACCTCTGGCTGACTTTCAGCCATGGCCGCAGGAGAAGCAGGACCCTTTTTGGGCTTCTTGCTGGAGCTGGAAGGAGACCCAGCCATCACTCGCAGACGCTTCAACTTGGAATTCTGAAGGGCAAGTTGTGATTTCTTTCGCTTGAATTTCGTAGGATTTGCTGCATGAGACAAATCATCTTCCTCCATCAGATTCCCAGAATCAGGCTTTTCCAAAACAGTATCTTCATGAGGTTCTGTCTGGGGTGGAGATCCAACATGTTCATCAGATTTCCCAACCTCATCAGCCTTGCTCATGCCCGTTTCATCATGGTCCGCTATCTCTGTTTTTTCTTTCTACCTCCCCGACCTCGACCCTTGGTCTCACGTTTTCCACGGCCACGCCCCCTTCCACGCCCCTTTGACTTCTCCTTCCTCTCTTCTTCCTCATCACACAACTCATCCTGCAGCGCTTTGTCAGGATCTTCGGCCTCATCTTGCATTTGCCGCAGAGCAGCTTGTGCCTCTGAGGCTGGCAGGGGGAACCTGACTCATGCTAGTAGCTGCTAGTATCAGCAAAAAGTATTCATGGTATTATTTCTGTCTGAACTTCATTTGCTCAGATATTCATGTAAACAGATAGAATGTAAATATTATTCAGTCGGGAATCTGCACCAGGACAATTGAGCATATATATTATGCATAATAAAAACCACAAACTAGAACTGTTTCAGGGCCACCAGGGTTTTCCAAAGATGTCATGACCACAGTAGCCATGGCCATTCTGAATCACCAAGGGACAACCCCCATCAAACAAATGACATTGCTTTCGATTGCTGGCAATTTGTCGCAGTTGATTTAATCAAATTTTATGATGATGTTATCATATATCGTATGGGGTATTCTTCCAACAATTTAATACATTAGCTCAACAAGCGAAGAATCCCACCTTCGCCATTTCAGCCATGTGCTCCTCTGTGGTTGGTGCATCGGTTTCAAGGAGCTTCTTCATTTGAACATCAGCTTGATCTTTCAGACTTTGGGGAATGTCAACATCATCCTTCAACGGCTTCCGGTCCTGGATGAGCCAAAATAATCAAATTTGCACAGGCAAACCAGGTGATTTAAAATCACTATACCTTGTAGCCTTGTAGGCCTATACGTTAGCCGCTTTTAACACCTCTTCGTTTGACAGGCTTGAATGTAGTGAGTAAACTGCAATGAATTCGGGTTTGTTTCGTACATATAAGAATAAAATATCTTCATCAACAACAATTTACCCAAAGCCACCTGGCCCAACCCCACCTGGAAAACACCTTTGCTGCTTTCATTTGGTTTAACACCACCCTCCTCTTCCGAATCCATGATTTTCTCAATCGCTTGAGCAGCCTGGTCTTTCAACACATGGTCACCTTGAGAAAGGTTTCCGGCCTTTTGCTCATCCCCGGCTGCAGGTGCGAAAGTGGCACATGTCTGATGAGTTGGGTCCTCAGACACCTGCTCTGGTTGGACCTTCTGGGGTGATAGAACTGAGCCATGTAGGTCATCATCATCTATTTCAATGACAGTACTATCATGACGAACCACTACATTTTCCCCATCAACCTCCTCATCGGTTGTTGTATCTTCCTCCTCACTCTCCTCACTGTCCTCACTGTCCTCACTGTCATCCTCTTCCCCAGTCTTCCCCTGACCATCATCACCAACAGTTTGGGAATCTGCAAGGGCCGAGAGATCCCCCAGTGGTCGCACAGGGGACAAGAGTTGCGAATCAGTCATCGGAAGGGTGTACATGTTGTCAATGTCGCCGAATGACATAGCCCGCTTTGCAGCCTGTCATGGGCGGCAAACAAGCCCAGAATCATATCATGGAATCATGTTGCAAGGGAAATTCAGTTCAAGTTCAATCAATCAAGTTAGAGGCAGATAGAGAGCGAGAGATTGAGAGAGAGAGAGAGAGTGGTAGGCTCAGACCCAAACTCTATGTGATATGTAATCTGTTTGATGATAACTAGATTGCACCATTTTTTGGACATCCAGATTCGATTGAAACATACTAACTTGTAATACTGACTGGATCCACTTGAGCATACCCTTGGGCACCTCCTCTTGTTTCAACCGTGCAGCCCCACGTCCCCGTGTGGGAATCTTTTTCCCATAGGGGGAAAGCATGCCTTTCTCCTGACCAAGCTGAGGTCGTGGGCTTTGATGGAAAGGCATCAGGCATGGTGACAGAGGGGCAACAGAATGGCAATCTTCCACCTTTGCATGGGTTACAGTAACAGTCGACTAGTCCTTTTTAAACATATTCAAATAATAATCGAATCCTCAGAACTCAGGCTATTTTTTTTGGATCGATCTATATCAAACTTGGATGTTGGTTGTGACACAGTCATCAATGAAAATGATTGGCTACACCAGGATTGAACTCACGATTGCATCAACAGAGGTGGGTGTAATTGTTTAATCAAAATTATGTTGGTGCCCAATTGTTTTTAAATATATCACATATTGAATTTTACTTTTCCCCTTATGATATATGTAAATTGTATTTCAAATATATCATTTAACTTATAATAATAATATATAAGATAACACATGTTAATGATACAAACAATATACAGCAGGATTTGCACTGTGGATCATGGCTGTCCTCCAACTTGGCACGAATGACTGCCCTCAGAGTCTCCATGCGATCATGGCCTGACCTGGAATGCGCAAGCTTTGTGGGCAGGGGGCATTGTAAGGCTAGAACCTAGAAGAATTACCAAACATCAATTATGAGCAAATTAATTGAAACATCTTCAATCATTTTGCTCTACTCTACTTTGACCACAACTGCCCCTTGCCTACCACTTTCCCAATGCATTACATTGCAGTGCAAACCTGGCCTCGACTTGGAGTATCTTTGAAATCGATCTAGGCAGTAGGAGGCACAAGCCTTGATCAGGCCTGCCTCTGTTTGGGCCCATGCCTGCCATTTCGGGATCCCCACTCAGGGGTCACATCTTGAAATTGCAGTATTGATATATCAATTTAGCTCCAATCAGATATAAAACACAAGTCTATGATGTTCAAACCAATTTCACGAAAACTGAGCAAGTCCAATGTTTCCACTTTCAACTGGGCTAATTCAAAGTCGAAGCCGGGGCCTGGTGATTGGGCTTGTCTTTCCACGGGTTGAGCTTGTAGTGGGTGCTGGCCCAAGTCAGGCCTGCCTGCATAGTGTTGAGCAGATCCGTAAACACATGATATAGTCAATAAGCCAAAACGTAATTTTCATGAAATGCCAAAATGCCATTAATGCAATCCATTGTTATATCAAAATATGATATCATATAATATATTATTATATATTTATGTAATCTATATATATTATATATTCTAAAATAATAATATAACATATGTTGATTGCATAAGTAATATTAAACTAAATATGCTGGCCTCCAAATCAACCGCTGTAGGAAGATCATGGGCGAACGTCGCTAGGAATTCCAAGATCAGCTGGTAACTGTGGTCGGACTCAACCTGTCCAGATGAGCTGTTGAGATGAACTAGGCCTGGTGTTCTGTGATCACAATATCATGGAACAAATTAATATTCAACCAACCACGGGATCAATTTGAGAAAAAAAAAGCCTCCTGGGACGTGATGTGTGGCGTCTCCACTATGATGAACTGGAACTTTGGAACCTTGGTTGGATGTGATGAGATCATATCCACTATTTATTCTTTTCTGGATGCAGGTGGGTTATGGGTTGTTGCATGTAGAATAAAATGTATTAGTTGATATAGGGGGCCTTTATGAACCAATATCAATCAAATCATACACTCTAGGTTGCATGCCTGGATGGAATGTATATTCTTTATTCGAACAAATCGTGTTATATACTATATATTAGGCAAGGTGGTATGCATTAGAATGGAACACCAACCACCAGCAGGGTTATTGGATGGTATATAGATTTTATAATCAGATGGGTGCCATTCATGTCATGGTTACCTTTTCAATTTATTGACATGTCCAACCATGTCAGCAAACAATTGCTATAAATCAAAGGATGCACTGATCCAAGGCTCAGATAAAACAAAAATGATGTTTGAAAATATAATTCAGGTTTAAATTTTCTGTTGCTGATAGATTTGAAGCTCACTAGTCATCGCAACCAAGCCACACCCCCACCATGAGGATCAGGCTTTGCGGGTCTCGCGGTCACTTAGCCCTGCTCTTCGACGCAGTAGCTTTCTGCGTTCATGCAGAAACCCATCCTCCTCTATGATGTCCTTCAAAAAGCCCTCCAAAGAAGCAGGATGATACCATCGAATTATTGGCTTAGATTTTCAGATAATGATACTGTATCCAGAAAAGAATGTTCTATAAACATGAGTGGGCACCTTGATCTCGTCCAGACGAGAAACGGATGCAGATCCCATGGCTCAGAAAGTGTCCAAGTAAGTAGAAAACAAAATTATGAACCACAAATGGAAGACTTCATGTTCAAGAAACACCTAGAAATTTCTAGAAACTGCTGCGATGGCTGAGAATTGATTCAACACCCCTTTCCAGGCTTTGTTCACTCCTGAACCTACGACTTTTGTCAGGGCTGTCTTTGATATTGAAATCCTTGAGGCAAATCACCAGGTGGTATCACCAAAATTAAACAATGCCCAAGCCAAATCAAAATGACAGTTGTTGAAAATAAAGTGATCAAATGAATCACACTGTTGCAAACATAATGGCCCAATGGAACCCAGCCAAACCCATGGCAAAGGGGGTGAGCGAACCCAAGTCTTGCAGGTCCAGGTCCACCACATCCTCTTCAACGGTTTTCTCAAAGAAGCCTTTGAAAGATGATCATGCAAGGAATGAAAACCTTTGAAAAATATAATTGATGTGAAAAAACATGGCTTGATGAATTGATGTTTCTCACACCGTCCTTGTCATAAAATCTGCTGAAGGCTACCAAGCCCTGAACGTCTTTTGAGGGCCCTTCTCATCCATCATCATCATCAGCGGCAGGTCCACACACACATGGCGCAATGGAGCCCGAGGTAAAATCAATGAGCAAAAGGGTAGAACATGGTAGAAAAGAACATCCACCCATATTAATTAAACTACTGGACCATACTTCTATGAAGAACAACTAGTCAAGTCTCATTAGTATAGCCATTTATCATTCTGCAAAAAAGATGGGAACATAGTGCCAAGAGCCTAGAGCTTTAAGCATCCCTTGTTTGGACCTGCCTGGTGTACACAAGTTCATGTTACATCACAAAATGAAAAGTTTTTATACTTAACTTGTTTGAGTCACCAATGTTTCTTTCATGGCAATATTTGGGTCTCTCATGCTTCCTCATTTGCGAGGTAACTCCAGCGAGCAAGGTACCTTTCAAGTTCACAAGTGATGCAATCATGCACAGGTCTAACCAGGATTTCCAGGGAAATAGTCGCTTGTAGATAAGAATAGTCGCAAATACAAGCCTATTTTTCAAATAGGCTTTGAAGGCTAGGGTATATATATTAATATATTATATTATTATATTGTAATTGGTTACTACCTAATCGGTAGTAATAGGCCACAAGTTGTAATCACAGATATGCAAATGGACCGGCAAATACATTCCATGACTCAACCGTCCGTCCTCAGCAGCTCGCTGGAACTCTCGCTGGATACCATTCAAACCTTCCTGAAGGCAAGGAAATCATATTTGTTCATTGCCAAGGATTGGCAATTAGCATTTGAATGTCATCAGAGTTACTAGTCTGCAACACTCCTGCACTAGAATCATGATGCTTTCCATGTGGGGAGCGAAGAAACATGATAAAATTGAAAGTCCTTTCGTGGCAAACCAGAAGCCTCTGTGCAACAAGAACATCAGGGCTGAGAGGGGACAAACTGACAGTGTCCAGGCTCTAAACATGTCAACACGATAGACTGCAGCTTTGGTTAATTTCTGGAATTAGCTTTCATGTGCTTTATTTTGCACTTGAGACATACATGCAATCATCAACGAACCAGATTTCCAAAATACGAACCAGTTCCGTGTTTGCAACAATATCCTTCAAATAGCCGGAATGCTCCCGGTAAGAATCTCTCCAGCCAGCAAGTTGAAATAACCGGCTTTCGGAAGATCTTTCGGATTGCTACATCTGTTCTCTGCCTCTCCCTCCAGTGCCTCAAAGTCTGACCATTGAAGCAGCGGTGCATCCAACGCCTTACTACTCTTGGACATCACATACCATCAAGTTCATCAATTATAGTATAAGGATATTACACATTATAGTCTATAAAGGTCTATAAATGTCTATAATCTATAGATCTCCATAATAGACATTTGAGGATATTCTATAGGCAAGTTTCCATTAATTGGCCCACACTTTTCTCCCATCAATACGACAACATGATGTCACGGCCTCCTCCACAGTGGAGACTTCCGAAGGCGCTGTCAGCCATTTATGCCTCAGTCAACAAATGGGCAATGATGGGCAATGTATCAAGGCGTGCAAATGTATGAAGCTCACAGATCTGTCAACTGCTTGAAGTCTGGAACTCAAAACTGCTTCAAACTCTGCTCCTGCATGTGCGTCATGGCAAGATATGGCAAGCATGCAGCATCCGGAGGAAATCTCTGTGTTTGGACGCTTGATCGCAGTCTTCCTCTATCCCCAAGGCTGATCTCGATCCACACCGCCAGGATATGCAATTCATACATATTCATACTCTATCAAAAGTAAAATACTCACCCTCTCATGCTGATTGATGTACGTGCATGTCTGCATGTTAGTATTTCTCACGTCGTTGTTTCGGTCTGACTCAATGCCCCTTTCAACTCATTGAGCTTTTGAGCAGCAGACAACCGTGCTGCAAATAGAACCAACACTGGAAATCGGCACGTCAAACGCAATGAAAAGTGGATGATAGATCAAAATCCAACATAATCCAACCTTTTTTTCAATTGATCTCTTTGATCTCAGACATGTGAACCTGCGCATTTGCAAGTACCTTGGCTATCCGACTGCAAGGCTCGCTTGGCATCAAAGCGCACTTGCCTGGAGTGGCGAAAACTGTGCCAAAAATAAGCTGCCCATCGATGCACAAAGCAACAAAAAATCGGAAATCACTGCATGCTTATATCATCTTAAATCATCTTAAATCTACATGGATATGACTTAACCCTTTGCGAACATGAAAGAACCACGTTTGATGTCTAATCACACTGAATGTTGCTTCCTCTCCCATATGAATCTAAAATCTTTCCAGGACAATGATGCAGCGGACAGAATAATTATGCAGCGTCTATAAATACCGTCGCATGACAATACCGTTTGGTGGTTTCTGCTTCAACTGCTGCTTTCCTGCCTTTTCGGTGACAGCAAGTGTCTCACTAAATCTCTCGCAACTGGCGAAGGCCTGGCTTGTCTTGAGGACCGTAGAAACTGACAATCAATGCCCGATCAGGGGGGCAAAGGCACAAGATGAGGCAACGTACAATGCAAGGGATAATTACTAGTACTATAGTAATGGTAATGGATGATAAATATTGATAAATGATGCTCATGGTTTGTAGAGCCAAGTGAAACGACAGTACTAGGTGTGACAGTTCAAGATCTTTCCATGGACAAGTTTTCTGTCTTTGGCAAGCACGGTAATGCATATTGCTAGCCGCTAGCCCATTGCTAATGAACTCATCTTTGATCGGCCACATACAAACAGCGGTACTTATGTGTGCAGCTACGTTATATAGATACACCTCCTATACACCTTTACCCTGTTGGAAGCACTTGTGTCCAAACAAAGGCCTGACAGAAACTTACCGCCCTTCAAAGCGTTCAAAGCAGCTGAAATGCAATCTTTGCGGCGCAAGCTTGGCCGAGCCTATCGTAGAACAATCGCGTATAATAAGAAACTCAGGATAGCGAGACTGAAAGGCACGTCGCTGACGTCCGCCGATGTCCGCCGCAACCTCCTGAAGTTTTCGAAGTTTTCACGGCTTTGCCGTGACAACTTTCATTATCTGTGCACGGCCCATGGCACCCATGGGCCACGGCTCCAGCTATGAGCTGTCTTGATCTCAGTCCTTCAACGACATGCTCAGTGCGTTGATTTGATTGGGACGAATAAATACAAATAAATACAAATAACCGGTACTTTCTTGCATTAAGTATTGTAAGATATTGTAAGATATTGTAAGTACTTATATCTTAACCCGCCTGCCATTGACATATCCTATGCCTGACATCGATTGAGATCAAGGCATTGTGCTTAACTTCCTGTCTTCTTCAAGACGCAGTCAATAATCCAATCGTCGAGTCGCAGGACCAAAAACTGATTGGGTGCTTGCCATACATGTGTCTAACAGATCATGCCATCCTGAAGACGAAGTGACGAAGCGATAGAATTATCATGATCCCAGTCAGATTCTACAGGATGTACTCGAGTGTTGCACCATTCTTGTGTCCCGCTGCTGAAAGAGCTTGTGCAGATAATTTGTCTTGCAATTTGCAAGATGGAATAACTTTGTTTCAAGAACTGCAGACAAAAATGTACAAAAATGTACAAATCTTGCCCAATCTACAAATCTCTCAGATTCTCTCAGTGCTTTTGCTTTGACCCTTGCCTGTGGTGGGCCAAGTGTCTCCTGGACTCACGGGACTCACGGGACTCACCGCACCCTTCCAGACCCCACTCTCGACCAACCTGCATTCATCCGGATCCAGGAGGAAGCTGCAAGTCATCCTATGACTCTGTACGCTCCGGCATTGATGTTGAGCATTCCTAGGTCTGTAAATCATATCTAGACTGATCTAGACTGTGTAGACTGGCTCTACCTACGTGTAGCGAATTGCAGTTCCCATGCACAGCTGCAGCAAGCCCACAAAGAACCGTTGTACTCTCCTTTGCTTCAGGCGGTGGAGGTTGGAGGCTCGTTCCACATCAGGGAGACACTTGTGCAACCTCACCGTGTATGATACAGGGAAACACAAGCCGCATTTAGGTGCAAAATTATGCGAATGATCGATCATTAAGTTGAAGGGGAAAAAGCCGGAATCATTCATAGACGCCCACACAGACTTTTCTTGTGGCTGAAAGGCCATCACACAAGTTTGCAGTTATATGATCTCTAAGTGATCTCATTCTGGTTCCATATGTTCCATAGAGAAGTTTGTCCAACACTGACCTCTTTTCGAAAAGGCAACTTCAATATGTCTGGATATGTCTGGTGTGACATGCAAATCATTGAGGGACAAGAAAAGAACACTTCACACTACTGACAAGATCTGACAAGTTGTCATAACAACATAAAACACCATGAAGCTGTCTCCTCCATCACCAAATGATCCAAGATGCACATCAGTGAGCCATTTCCTTGCAGTGGAGCCTGCACGACGTTCAATCACATCTCGTTCAGCTGACAAGTTGTGAGGCAGAGGATCAACTGTGAAAACAAGAAAGATTGCTTCACTGAGCCTTGCTGCTTTCATTCCTTCTTGATCCAGTTGCTCATCTAAAAACATGTTATAGATATATTTGATATGTTTGATATTTGATGATGATATATGATGATTGAAATATTTTGAAATAAGCCCAACCACACGTGTCATTTAGTGCCATTCTCTCCCCGACTTGTTGCATCTGCCTGAGGAGTCCAGAAATGGATCTTCACGGTAAGCCATCATTGAGTCCTCTCAGGTCACCATGTCACCCCGAAAGTCACCCCGAAAGTGTCCGACTGTGTCCCTCTCAGGATTTAGGCGTCTATCGCCCCGCCTTTCGCCAAGCTGTGACAAAGCAGTCACACGACACGAAGCAATCGAAAGCATATCGAAAGCAATTTGTCACTTCTGATGTTTCGATCCAACTCAAAGTGGCACTGACATGCACTGACATCAGTGGCACTGACATCTGGTGTCCCTGTTCCAAAGCTCGATACCTCTCCCGACCTGAGAGCGGAAGACTGTCTGTTTGGATCTCTTGAGGCTTTTGGTAAAGTATGCTCAAAAAGGATGGGAAACAGTTTGAAGAGTCTTGGATGGAGGGAATTGCATTAGGTATGACTCTGTTGGACAGAGCTTTCATGGCTTGGGTCCACACGAAGCTTTACAACTTGATTTGTACTGTTAGACACAAAAACGTTACCGGTCATTTATTCTACAATTGGAAAAATATAGCAAACAATCAAGTTCCATCTCCTTCCTGTATGGTACCTCCATGGCATAGGCCATATTATATTCTTTTATCATGAGGAGGCTCAAAGTCTCAAGAACAACATGTCCGAGAAACATGCGGGAAAACTCCACACAAATGCTAAAGCAATGCCTGCACAGCATATCCTGTCCATTCCATTTGTGTACGAATTCGCAAGACTTTTGATTAAAAGTTGGAAAGGAGTAAGATATATAATTATATATACGTGTATATTATACATATTATATATATATTACATAGCAATACAGTAAAACATAACGGACTGTGACTGCAACAGGCAACCAATCCTCAGATCCCAACTTTCGCAAGCACCAGGGAGCATGTGCCAGAAATGCCTAAGTGCCAAGTCATCTGGCACAGCATCTAGTTGGATTGGCATCGCTTACGCCAAACACCACAGTCTGCAACCTTGCTACTAGGTAGACAAATTTGATGCCGAATTCTACAATATTCATCACTAGTCTACAAATAGAACTAGCTGGGACATGCCAAACTGATCCAAAAGATTCCAAAAGATTCCAAAAGAAAGTATTTGAAAACCATCAACCCCGCTGGCTGCAGCATAGGAACGGCCGTCCATTTTGAACTCCCAATGGACTTGTTCTGGAGAAAACATCTGGCAGTTGCATTTGCTGCGGCAACAAAAAATATACGTATGGGAAACGATCATTTTCTTACGTGGCGGCAGGTCTTGAATTTTTGGAGAGTGTACTAGCGCACTGCTGCAATAACACAATTTTCTTCAAGGGATTTCAAAGGAGTGTTTGTGCAAACACCTTTCCGTATCACAATCGTTCATGGGATGCATTCGAAGCAAGTTGAATCTTAGACTTGGACTGCGTACACAGCTACTGTCTTTCTGGGGGATAAGTCGCGAAGCGAATTCAAGATGATGCAAAAGTTGAAACCTGCGGTTTGCAACAGAAACAACACATCCATTCCTACAGCAATCGACTAATCTCGCTCTAGTCTGAAAGATGCGCTCGGGAATGCACAGACCTGACAAAGCATCAGCTTCATCCTGTCTGCCATGAACTTGTAGTCCGGTCCGATCTCGGCAAAGCGGCCAATTGGCAGTTGACAAGAGCTAACTCATTTGTGACAGCATATTCTAAGAAGTGATGACTGAACCAATACTCCAGAATACTCCAGCTATAAGTGCGTTCCAGATTTAGGATTCTCTCTGTCTGAGGGCCACTTTTTCTTCGAGAAGACCGTTGACCGCCAACATTCAAATCATGGCTCTCCGGTCGCTATCTCTCTGCTGACTTTTCTATTGGATTTTATTGGTCTGCACTATCCGAAAGATGCCATGAAGCGATGCACTAAGTGCAGAGGTCGCGAATCCATGAGTGGTCAGAGCTTCTGCAAGCCTCTATGATCCAAAAATGATTCAAAAACACAACACTTTCTCGCTGTCACGCAGACAAGAAACCCAGAGTTCGATTACCTGGAAGAGGGACTTTGGAGGAATCTGAGAATGGACGATTCAACACCCAAAAAGGCTTGGGATTTAACAGCAAATGCAACAATGACAATCAGGCCGAAAGACTTCTGCCAAGGCCAGACATACAGTAGATTCATGTGTTTTCCTGCTTTCACATTCGTATGGACTCATGTTTATAATATTTTATAATAATGTCAATGTGGCAGGGGCAGCCCTTCAAATTCCCCCACTCACCAACCGCCTGCTTTGCCCTTCAAACCAAAGAACTAAACTAAACGACGCAGTCCAAACAACAGCAAATTTGACTTAAATGTATTTACAGTCCATTATATTTGATATCAGCTCCCTGAAAGGAGCAGTTATGCAATGTACTGTATCAATTTCATTTTTACTCAATGACACGAGTAGCTGCTCCAACACACATCCGAAGACCTTATTTGGGCGAAAATATTGAAAGTTGGATGTTCAATTCTACAGACCCAAACTTCTGCTGCCTCCCCAGCACAAGAACCAGCAAAAATCGTCGGGAAAAATTGATCAGAACATATCAGAACAGGTTGAACTCAAGTTCGCAAAGGCACCGCTTGGAGTTTGGCTGTCTTGGTTGAAAGCCGGTCGCAATCTTGGGAAATGTATAAATATATAATAAATATAATATATAAATTGTACATATCACGCCCAAAGTTCTTTTCAAAGGGGAACATTGTTGCCATTTTGTCAGAAGACCAAAGGTTCACCACTCCAGGATCCGTCCTTCATTGATCAAGCAACCACTGGCTTTCCGGGTCGCGTCTCCATCAGTGGCTTCTCGGGTCGCTGGTAGTCGCTCAAACGCACCAGATCCAATTTCCAGTCTGCCAGGTTCAGCGATTCGTTGCATAGCGACAGTGCAACATTTTGGTGTTCATGTGTGGATCTTGGAATATCAAGTGGAATACTACAAGTACCTTAGTTTCTTTGTTTGGGACGTCTGCGCTATTTCGCGCATCGCTCAAGACGCATTCGACACAGACATTGACATTTACTATAATTACATCTGACTTGCTAACTGCCTGTCCCAGGCATCACACTCTTTGAACGAATGCACGTGATGTACACATTGGAGTAGACATTCGACGAAGGCAAAGGAGGAGGAGAAGGAGCTAACGGGGACACAAACCATATCCATTAGCCCCAAGTGAACTAGCAGCGGCAACACCACCAACAATAGCGAGAGTGACAACCACAACCACAAAAAAACGATAAAGAACAAGAACCAAACCACCACCACCAGAGCAGGGGCAACGACACCAACTACAATACACTACAATAAAGCAATCGCTTGAGAAATCCTGATAATTAAGATTATTTTGTGGTCAAACAATTTCTCACAAATTGCTTGCCAGACTGACTTCGAAACAGATCTCGTCATATCTCGTCCCTTGCCCTCTCGTTTCCATGCATGGTTTTGATTTTTATAGACTTATTTGCAAGAGGACACTCAGAGAACAACCAGAATAACCAGACAAGATCATGCAGGTCAGTTGTGGTCAGTTGTGCAAACCTGCATGGTGCTTCTCCAAGAGCTCCAGCTCACGATCTGGGTGAACCTGCGCTGCCATGATCATTGCTGCTGTGGGAAAGTCTATGAAAGTTTCCCAAGTTTCATTTGACAATTTTTGAAAGGGAGGGGCCTGTTGTGAGCGGCAGAAAATTGAGATGACTGGCACTGTTTTTTGCAAATCCTAAATAAGATTTTGATCTACCCAGAAGCCCATAAGGTTAGGTTTTTATTCAGATGTTCTTGGATATAATAATCTAGTTCCATGCAATTCCCATGCAAAATCATATTTAGATTTCTTGTTTCACCTTGTGAATTATGTTGTTCTTATTGAATGCAAGTAAATAGATACATCAGAGTCATAATGCAAAGGATCAAAATTGTAAGCAAACACAGTTCAGGAATAACACATAAGAACACTATTGAAATATATTATTTGCACCTTAATATCATTAAAATGGTTGCATGAACCCTTCCACTATCCCTTGCAAAATATCACGTTTTTGTCTAAAAAATGCAGGGTGTCCTTAAAAGAAGTACAGCGGTCCCTTGAGGGGGAAGCATTTTTCCACAATATGTAGCATGAGTTCAACATAATAGTGCATGCCTGTTCTAATATGTAATATTAAATGCATCAATGACTACCTCCTGCTCGTAAAGAAGAATTTTGCATTCATGTGCAATGTTCCTTTGAGAAAGTACAATGTTTTTTCAACAAGCAATACGCCTAACAACTATGGAGGAATCCTCTAAAAGATGCAGCATTCCTTTTAAAAAAGCGCAAGCTTCTTCCCAATGATAGGGTATCTCTTTAAGTAGGCAGTACTCCTGTGCCATATGTAGCGTGCCTTTCAATTTACAGCCACCTTTTTAATATGCAGAACTCAATGTCAAAAAGTGCAATATCCAATGAATGCATCAAAGCAATATTCCTTGAAAATCTTGTGAAGATAACTATGTTGCTTCCACATGGCAATTTTCCGAAAGACCACATCGTATTCTTTTCAAGAAGCCATGTTCCTGCAAAAATAGAAGATACATTTATTGAAACATGGAGTATTCCAGTATTCCTGTTGAAAAGGTTCAGTCTTCCTTGTTTGATAATCTTTACAAACCGCTGCATATGTAAAAGGATTACATTTTGGAGTGAAGGTCCATTCTCCTAAGATAATATTGCATCCCCCTCATGGAGGTTATATTTTTTGAAGAACAAACCCTAAGACTTTTCACACATTCTTCAAGGATTGATAAAAGGATCCCAAGTTTGCGAAAGAACTCCATCTTGAAATTTGAAATGAGGTTTTTATGTCTGAGGGAGTTTTTGCACCCTTTCCAAAAAGATATTACGAACTTTCTTGAAGGGAAATATTGCAGATACTTATAAACATGTATGTAACATTCACCTCAAATAATGCCATTATAATGATAACTAGAAAAACATCGTATGATTCACTTCAAAGAAGGCCATGGATCTTAATTTCAAATGGTGTTGGAATCTGCTAGCAAAAGGCTCCATACTTTTTATGGAACTGTATATGTATTGAAGGTCTTTTCAAACTAGTACTGCACTCTTTTCACATAGATAAAGGGAATGCGCGAAGTCAGGCCACACTTTCTTTACAGAATATCACGTTCTTTGAAAAATACGATTTGGGATCACAGATATTGGAAGATTGTATGTAAAAAAATGCCGAACCCATGTCCTAACTGCACTTTGTCTGCTTTATTTTGTTTCATTTTTTCGGTATTGTTTTGAAAAGTGCCAAATTCTTCAGAAAACTAGTTGAAAATAATGGCAAATCCGGATTAATAAACCTACCCCCCCAGAAGGTAGGTACCTAAGGAGAAATTTCTGCTAAGGTTTTAGCCCAAAATAATCGACCTCCTAAGTTGAAGTCATAAGAGATCAACTTCCAATTGATATCAATATGATTTCCTTTTAAACAAAAAACAACTAAAGATTACTGTAGAACGGATTTTAATTGATATCAATACCTTCAATTTATTTTCCGTATGTTTCAATCGATTTACCGTTGTGAGTGTCTACCCCAAAAGCTTGAAATTCACCGCTGACAACAGGCCTTTCTGTTTTGAAAAATATTGAAAACATGAAACCAATGTCAATAGAGGCTAATCGATGCACTGGTTTCTTTTGTCAACATCTTGTATGGATTTGCACAGCAGCATTAAATGACAAACACATACAAACACAAATTACCTTCCCTTGGGATTCAGGAGATTGACGTGGTTTCTTGGTGTACCATGTTTTACCTTTGATGATGTTTACTCGGCTCTTCTCCCCTGCATCTATCAAAACTGTGGCAAGTTCGTACCAATTCGCACCCAGTTCAAGAACTCGTCGAAGCTGATCAGTCCAGAATTGTCGCTATCGATAAATTCCTCATGGCGGGTGAGTCGCAAATCAACGCAGAAAATCAAAACGAACGGTGCTCCTCGGTGCTCCAGGCTTAGTACAAAGATCTGCAGTGTGCAAGTATGTGCAAGTATTGGAAGCCAACAGTATGATACTTACATATACTTACAATTGCATATATATATAATAGCTGCAGCATCATATTCATAAAGTAAATACAAAAGTATATTGTTTATATATTAGTATAATTGTGAATAGTTCATAATCCACTTCTTCCGATGAAGGCAAAAAAAGTATGAAAGCAACGCACATCTTGGAGCAGTTTCAGTCTTGCCGCCTGGTGTTGCATTGGTCATTTGCTTGAATCAGCATTGCGTCAGCAGGTACAACGCAGTGTAGAGGTTGAAAAAGTTGCAGCATATCTCTGCGGTCCCCATGGAGAAAACATCAGAAACCACAGTTAAACTCGGCTATACTCACTACAGTAGTAGTCACTACAGTAGTAGTCACTACAGTAGTCACTACAGTATAGGAACTGCATGGGGATGCATCTGCCAAGATCTGCCAAGATACGTGCAGGTCACCACCTGGGTTTGGTCTGAAGGATCAGAAGGTGGAAGCATTCTGAATTGATAGCATCCTGACATTAAGCAGCCATAAGAAGCATTTGGGGATATTTGGGGTATGTTTGCTAGCCCGAAATCCTAGACCAAACATGACCAAACATTGTCAAAGCATCTCTGAAAACCAAGATCCACCGACTGACAGGTAGGCTTTGAAACACAAGCAGCATGGCGCAGAGTTCGGAATCGATACTCTTCTTTCAACACTACTTCCGCAGCATATGCAGCATATGCAGAATGTTCCAAAGACGAAGTTAAATGAATGACCATAAAAGAAACACTGGGGGTTCTGCATGCATGTTCAAAAACACGCATACATCATCATACATTTACAGTATTCTACAGTCATCTACTACATTGCACAACTACACGCTGGTTTGGGATCCCATTGGTTTCATTTCGCTCTACGTACAGCATAACAACAAGATAACATTTCAACAAGATGAAACTCCTCCAAAACGACGACAACAACAACACATGTCACACATTGTCACGCAATGCACCTGTTTTTCACAAACTCACTATCCACTTCAATGGACCCCTTGCATGGAACTGTATCAGTACTCTCTCCATGCCAAGCAACTGGCTTCTGGGGGTATTCCACCAATACTTTGGATAAAGTGCCAGAATTCCTCCTTGTCCAATTGCCCATCGCCAGTCTTGTCCTTGAATTGGACGGACACGCAAAGCATCAAAGCATTGATGACGATATCTGCACATTTTTGCTACGAGGATATCACCACACAGAAAATGATGCATGCAGCCAATCAACTTGCACAAGGGCGATGTGCACAACCACTCTAAATTACATCAGGTTTGGAACACTTTGGCGTCAATGGTAAAGTGGAACCAGTTGGAAGGACGAATTCAGTGGTAGAATGCAAGTGGAAACTGCTTTGCAAACATACTTGGCAAAGGAGTGCATCCTTTGTGCGGGCTCTTTTTCATTCGTCATTGGCTTTGCCTGGCATTCCGAATTGGATGTCCCTTGCCACATTGAGCAGGGAATTGCTCAAGATTCAAAAGTTGTCTCAGGTTGTCTCAATGATGATGATGGTCATGCAAGTAGTAGCCCTTCATTGAAACCACACGGTCGGGATTGTAGATGACATATTCCGGACCATAAGGATCTGGTTGAAAGTTGATGGAGTCATATCCTTGTGCTTTCAGCCAACTTCCACGAGCTTTCCGGTCCTGACACTTTGCATAGGGATGGTGGTTGCAAGTCGCACTGGTGGTGCAGTGCCAAGGCATATGCTTTATCCTCCCAAGGTTCACTTTGGCTTCAATGATAAAGCCTGCTCCTGAGTCGGGGCCTTTGATCTTCCCGGAGGTAGCTTGTACTGAGGTGGCAAAGTAGATTCCTGCTCCACACCAGCCGACATGGCCTAATCTGAAGCCATTCTTCAAGATACTCTTGCCTGCACTTGGCGTTGTTTGGTGGTAGAGTGTCTTGACCCAGCCAAGACCTGCTTCAAGAGTAGTCTCTGACGTGTCATTGCTGGCGTTCCTTCGCAATTGGAGGGCATGAAGGGCACAACCACTTGATCCATCAGCATTCTGACCATTCTGACCATTCTGACCATTTTGACATTCATCGTCTTCCACAAAGCCATCCTGGCCATCCTGACTGCTAATCTCGGAGATCTCGACGTGTGCAAGTCCTGTTGAAGCACTCGCAAAGAGAATGGCTAGAGCGTAGAACCACAGCATTCCGGTCCGGTGTTTGCCCGGGCTACTAGGTATAGATAGCACTTTTTTATTGAACACAGCTCGAGCAGGACACGAACGCATACAAGCAGTGCTTCTTGGCACACAGTCAAAGTGGGTCATGCTATGAACACACAACATGACTTCCCGACTTCTTCATTGAAATATTTTGTACAGTCGCACATTCATCAAACGAATTGCAGAAATATAACTTGTGAATTGTGACATGATGCTTCTACCAAACTGCAGTAGTTGCTGTGAGTGCACGAGTGTACGCGCAACTGAATCAAGCGAAGCGCTGCAAGAAGGACTCATCTTCAAGTTCGTGCCAAGATTCAATCTTGCGGAATATCTTTTGGACCTCTTCCTCGGACATGTCAACCAACTTCTCCCGAAGATGATTTAAACCTGGAAACACGGGCCACAAATTATAGGCAGGGATTGCAACTGACTGCACAGAAACAGGCCAGAGAGCTGTTGAATGCTGTTGATATCTGTTGATGACATCGCACATTCATCACGCATCATCACATTCAACCAAGACGTCTGCTCGTGAAACATAACATGCTGCTACCATACTAAGCTGAATACATGCCCTTCTTCAATGTTGAGTAGATAAACGCAGGAAAACAAGCACTGCAAATTTACATTGCTTCAAACACCTCCATCTTTGCTACTCATCCTCTGCTGCACTTTGTCTGAGACTGGGACGAAAGTTGTTTGTTTCGAAGACCCAGCCCAAGAATTCCTCCTTGTCGATGCCACCTGACTGGTTGATGTCAATCTCCTGACACGACTGGCATAGAGAATGATTTTTGTTCTTCCACTTCAGCCTTGAAGAAGCAATCCCATGCTCAATATGCTCCATGGTGGAGAAGCACAAAACCTGTCAACCAATGTTAACCACTCATCAGCAAAAAGACGTCGGGAATAGTCCTTTCATTTGGGTGCAAGCTGATTGTATTGTGGTGACAAAGGGGCACCATTTTTCCACCACTAAACAAAAACACATTTCAGGCACAACATCAGCGTTAGGAAAAATGGCTGAATGTTTACCAAGAAGCATCAAAGATATGATCACCTTAGCCAATGACAAACCACTTAGGTTCGCATTCACAACTGTCTCACGCAGATCTAAACTGAACTGAAACATCAACAATGGGTTGGCAACTGTCGTGTGGAGAGTGCACGACGTCAAAGAGCTCAATATAGCAAAAAAATGCCAAAACTTCAATATCAGGCAGTCAGATTCAGCACATGATCAACATGTTGCATAATTCGCACACGAAATACCGTACAGAGTATAGATGGATACTCCGTGTATTTCACATTAATCAATTGATTTTGGTAACTGCAATACCAACAGCTGACTGTCCAGAGTTCACGTCCAAGGGGCTAAGCTTCTCATCCATGTAGTCTCGTTTTCGTGTGAGACCTTCGCTCAAGGCAACCAGCGACCAGTCCCTATGCAGCCCGAAGATAAATGCAGTGAAATTGGTTGCAAGTGCGTTGCTGGAAACGGCTCTGATGGTGATTGAAGTATGAGAACATATATTGAATTATTACCGACATACTTTATGTCTCTGATGCTCGAGGGTCAGAATGGACTTTGCCATTCACAGGCCATTGATTGAAGATATCTTTCGCATGCTGTTCGGGAAAAGCACATCACGCAGTAAGCAGATGTCTGTATACGGCAAGTATATATGATACAATATAATATAACAAAATGCATGTCCTTGTCATGAGCAGTGAAGCCTGCTACAAAACGTTTGTGCAGCAGGTAATGGAACATGTTTGAATTATTCAAGAACCGCTAGAAACAGGAAGCATTTTACAAGATGTGATTGTGGCATCAAATTATATTTCAGCGGGAAGCTATCAGAATTCGCTGGCGCCTCTAAGCATGGTGTAGAATGCAGGCTTGTCTAAGAAGCCTGACAGAATCTCAGTGGATTTAGAATGCACAGTTGCTTGGATTGGTGGCATGTTATTATCTTGCGAGCGGATGCAAACAGAATATGCAGATCATATCAAAATAAGAATACTGAATGAGCGCATGGTTTTGAACACCTCAGAAATTCGATGCAAAGGTTTCAGTGCAAGGTCTTGCAACCTTTTTGTAAGCGTAAATCCCTCCTCGGACAGCCCAAATGGAAGGCCTACACAATGGCAAAACATGGCAAAACATTGACCCTTGAAAACTTCACAACATTTGACTCGATAATTTGTCAACTGCCTTCAAAATCAAGCAAGAATAGTCAAGAGTCTCAGAGGCACTTGTTGTTGACCCAACTCGTATACGCATGATATTGCCAAAGAAACATGTTGAAGATCCAAATGGTCAGAATATTCAGAATCTATCCAATTTCACAGAAGTGTTGGACATTGCATGGCACCTTTGGACATGATTGTTAAATGGACCGCCGGCGCTGCAATCTCACCGCTCATCCTGCGCCCCATCTGCCTAATCTTTTGGAATCATACAACTCAAAAGCTTCGATAGCACTCCAATAGTCCTCAAAGACCGCAGCCGACTGCAGCCAACTGCAGCCTGTATGGTAGGACCGTCCTGTTTGCAGACTACCTCTTGGCCCTAGAATATCATTGGACAATATTGGACACCAGAATTGTCTGACACCCCGCATCCTATTGCATCTACTCCGCCTGGAGTTCAAATCTTATCGGTTACATTATACACAAAAAGAGCATTTCTCGGCCCAAGCATGATTCATCAAGATTCATCAAGATTCATCAAGATTCATCAAGATTCATGACTATTTGCTCATATCATGACCAATCATTCACCAAGTTTCGAGTTGGCGAATACTGGATGGCATGGAACCCCCTTGCCCCAGCCATTTCTTGTTCACACCTCCAGTGCTGCAGGAATTTGATGGAGTCGATTGGAGTCAGACTATTTTGGAGCCAGAGAAAAACTCTCTGTTCTATGCCTCCGGTACTGCTCGATTATTTTAAACCATGCATATAATGATTCAATCAGAACCACAAGCACTTTGACTTCAATTCTATTAGATGTGTAGATTACCAGAACTCTTCAGCACCTGCGGATTCGTGTGCATCTACTGCTTCACGAAGTTCCTTCACAAGGTTGCCATTCCTCAGTGCAGAAGAACCTCTGGGACTCGATGGTTAAGCTCACCTCTATTTTTCTACAAGACCGCGCGATTAACTGGTACCTCAACCTGGCACATCCATGCACATCCAGCGTGCTGCTGTATCCTAAACATATCCCCATCGAATTCTCATCAACACCGAAATGAGGAATTTCTCCATGCAGTGACCTAACCCTACCATACATTCATCGCCTTATTTTCACATATTTTCACAATGTCCTCAACCAGTAGCCAAGGCCATGATGTGCTCCAGTGCTTCAGCATGCAGCCAACACAGTGGATTGAACATTTGAAGCACTTTGAGTTAAACTGAATGAAACATTGACACAACATGGCTGCCTCTGCCTGTCTCCTGTCTCCACCCAGTTAGGCACCCTGGCTTGTGCTTGTGTTCTCCTGGTGGTGCGTTGTGAAAAGCTGAAAAGCTGCGTCCCCATGAAACAGTGACTACTTACGAGTGGAGCCTGAGAAAACCGCATGTTGGGATGGAGTTTCAACATCATTTGTGAAGCCAAAAAACTTGCCAGCTCCTATGAACAAAATTTGAGCAGTTGTATGTGGTTGTTGAAATATATGAAGATCTGAAGATATGTCGTCTTGCAGCAAAGTGCAGCGCATGTTTGAGATTTGTCAATGATTTGCCTGAATAGACGAAACTACAATAAATTACAATAAATTGAGTACATTTAACTATAATCATTATCATTAATAATCATTTACACAAAGGTTGTGTTATTTGTGTTAAAGTTGTCCCTGCAAAGGAGTCCAGAGTTCGGTCAGCCATCAGGATCAATATCTTTTTTGGTCGTTTGCCTCGCCAAGTTTGGACGTAGAAACCACCTGCCACAGCTCGAGCGTGGAGTTGCAACTTGTCCAACATCGAGGCAACACCTTCCTTCAGTAGCGGTTCTCCCGTGCTGTGTTTCCCTTGTCCAGTCACAATGAGAAGTGTTCGAGGCTTTTGTTTCGCGTCGTCCAGGGCAAGCTGGAGTGCCATCTTGGCACTTGACAAGGACATGCCGTGCAGGTCGAGCACGTGATCACCGGAGAAAAATGCTTTCCTTCCAACGTCGCCTGCTTGCTTCTAGTACAAGCATCCAAACACTGAGACCCGCACAGGGGTGTGAATATCATGCAACAAGCAAAGAAAAATAAAGAAAATAAGAAAACAAAAGGGCCACTCACATCTCAGGCACTTTCAATAAAAGTCCGCATCAAGTACTCGCGAAACTCTTGTACCCCCGTCGCAGTATCTTCTTCGCCTGTCGTTCTCTGACCGCCTACGAGTTCAGTTTGTGGCTCCGGCATCCCGATATTGGCAGAATTGTATGTGGAGGCATCAATTTGATGGCCACGTTGAGAAAAGTTGTGCTTCAACAAATGCAATGCATGCTTCCATTGGTGACTCATCGTAAGGGCAGCCAATTGTAGGTTCGAATTCACCAAGTCTGGTGCCACATACTCCAAGGAACCATTCAGCTCGGAAGCCAATGCTAAGGATGACTCCCAGTACGAAGCAATGACACAGGCCTGTAAGGCATTGTTGAGACAGGGAGTGCTCATTGTAAGACCTTCCAGCTGTGCTTCATCAAAAAGTTTCAGTGCAAAAGCCCACGATCCGCTGCCATCTGAACGTGCTCCCTCTGCGCAAGCTGCAATCGTGGCTCCTAGCAGCTGCAAAACATATCATCTATACGGTTATACGTATAGATACAACATCTGGTAATGTGTTGCATACGAAATTGGGGTACGGCCAAGATGCTGATAAAATGCGAAAACCAGCATAGAAAATATAGGGCATCGATGCTGAATCAAGCAGGACAAGTTGGACATGCTCATGCAGCATGCCAAAGACAGCAGTGACCAAGGCCCGAAACGCCATGCCATGCTTGCTGTCAGTATGAAACCAAGGGCATTATCAGGTCATCAGAACATATCAGAACATTAAAATGAAAACTGAACAAACTGTTCAGGATGATTACCATCTTTCTTGCAGCCGGTCCGAATGTGATGATGTCAGGCTGGACATGCTGTAGGCGCATCTCCCAACACAAGTGAATGGCTTCTTGCCAGAAGGAACCCTTTCGACATGCATCAATAGCAGTAGTGTAGCTGATAGCATCCTCGGACACAGCTGAAGCAATCGTCCCAGAGCTTGATTCGAGAAATGTAAAACCACAAACTTCTGGGCAAAGAATACAGGATAAATACAGGATAAATATATAGGTAAATCAATGGTAAATCAATGGTAAATCAATGGTAAATCAATGGTAAATCAATGGTAAATCAATGGTAAATCAATGGTAAATCATGATAAATCAATCATCCAAAACCATCCGAATCATGTCCAAGCGTCAGGATCTTGAGTGGAGGAACGAATGGTTTCCAAAGTGTGCAAAGCTCCTTCCCAGTAAGACTGCTGCACAAAGCTTTGCATAAGAGTATTGTATGTTTCCAAATCAGGTCGAACTTGTTGCTTGGACATGTCATAATAGATTTGGTAAGCATCTCCCAGAATGCCACATTTAATGAAGGCACTCATGGCAGCATTTAGGACCACCGCATTGCTCTCCACTTGGAATTGTCGCATCTCATCGAGTAACCCTTTCGCTGTGTCGTATTTGCCGTGAGTTCCACAGGCCGCGATGACTCCACTGTATGCCTCTGAAAGATTCAGAATATACTCTTTGAATGAATCTACGATATAATCTATAATAATGACGTATAATACAGAAACATAATAATCAATCATGATAACTCAATATAACATAATATCAGCTACTGTAATACTAGTAATACTATGTAATACGAATATCTATATAATATCACAATAATGAGACTCCGCCTGGTGTCTCTTCCTTGATTTTGCTCAAAAACACGTCATCTGATTCACTGATACCAAACAAAGCACTCCTTCTTCATCCAGGGCTTGGCATGGTTTGTCTCTTTCAATCTCTTCCACTAAGTTGTTGCGCCAAGATGCAGTCGCTCCTGGTGCAACATTCTCCCTCCTCATCTCCTGTGATCGATGAAACACATGTAGATTGGAAGGGGAATGGAGGGGATCTAATCTATAGTCTATAGCTGTCATGTCTAAAACATGAACGAAAATGGTGGCATTTGAATCATGATAGTTAACACGTATCAACTGGTTCTGAAGGTGCCTACGATTCTTTCAAATGTGCATTCCATTGGCGCTGAGTATTGAGCTGATCTACTTTCAATGAGATGCAGCGAGAATTGCTTGAGGTCCCACCAAACACCTCCCTTCATTGCTCAAGAGTTTGTCCTTGAGCATCTTCAATGAGCGGTGCAGTTCGTTTGCCGAGTTCATTGCTTTCAGCAGGGAAACGTAGGTCACGTCAGTAGGTTTCAACTGATGTTTGGGCAACTCCTGAACAGCCAAACCACCACACAAGGTTGGTGGATGCAAAAAAATTGCACCCAGTTCAATTGTCAAGGTGCTACCCTGCGGCTGGGCACCGTTGAAGTTTTTCAATAAGCCCTCACCCAGCGCTGGTCCTGCTGCAACAACAAAGCACGCTGCCATTCACTTGCTTCGGCACAGGCAGCAATGGCAGCATTGAAAGTCCGCACGTTGGGCCTTTCCTTCTGCAATGCCATGACTCTTAGTAGGTCGAAGGCAAGCTGCCAACGACCTGCTGGTGGTCCGGCATGATTTCAAACATGCATCCGAAATGATCCAGAATCTAACTCATGTCATGTGAAAAGTGTTGCCTCATGTTGCCTCACACTATCTCACATTATATCACATTCCATGGTGTTGGCCCTTGCCCCTTGCCATCCCTTGCCTGACTCAGCAGCGGAGCCAATCACCGTATTGAAGGACAGCGTATCAGGAGGAGGCAGTGAGGGAGGTCTTGATTTGGATGCCAGACTGTTGCTCGAGATGCTGTGGGACCTCTATTTTGCTTCAAGACTCAACAATGCTGATAATGCTCAACAAACAAAAAAACATCAAAAGACCATGTTGACTCTGTTGACCTTTCAAACCTGGGCAGCGACAACAACATGACAGCATGCATTTATTTGTAGATGTCGAGGCTGTGGTTGAACAATTTCTTCTTGTGAGTCGAGGAACATCTCTGTCAGGAGCCACAGGCACCATTGCCACTTGCCAGAATTTTTGAAGGCTTGCAACACAGTATTGCACATATACCTGGGCTTCAGAAGGGCGAGGAAGCTCATGTAGATTGAAAGTGACTGGCAGGTCTAGTATACGCAGGTACAGGAGGAAAAAAACAATGCCAAGTCAAGACAAAGAAGCGGGTCCACATTTGCAGCGTTATCTGACCTTGGCAGGTGTGACATGAACCGGCCATTTGTGATTTATTCACAAGACATGAATTGCCTATCGGGGCCTATCGTTTGAGGATGTGCATGATGTGTGTGGAGACCTTGTTTCGCTCTCAATGTTTCAACGTCCAACAGGCAGGATCTAAGAAAGGAAGTAGGAAGATCGAAGATCAGGAAGACCATCTGATCATAGGAGCAAGGCTCAATCGTCCCACCTCAGAACCCTTCCAGTCTTCTGGACCAGTGACAAATGGGTTCTTGCCGAGTGACCGAATCAGAGAAAATCTGTGCAAAGCCTCTTGCCAAAGTCCAGCGTCACCCAAGCAACCGAGCAGTGTCGTTGCAGTCACCACCGTACGATCTTTAGCTGGTACATCCTCAAAGCAGGCCAAGGCCTCTGCCCATTTTGTACCTTGCAGTTGCATTTAGTATTTAGGTCTTAGGTCACGTAGCCATGATACAGTATCGAAATCATACAATCAAAAATATATATATATATATATATATGTACTATGCAGCAAATCAACCTATTATAAAGCTCAAAACCAATGTTGCTAAGCAAGCTCAGGCTGACTTCGTCGACAGGCGCTGATGACCGCGTTGTGCACACGAATGTCTGCCTGCAGTGACTGGAGTTGCATAGCAACAAGACAATCTATAGCTTCCTGCCAATCAGCAGTCGACAACGATTCAGTGACATCGATCTGCATTTGCCGCTTGCCTCACATGCAGAAACCGCAGAAACCCTGAAGCCTTGAGGTCTCCCAACTGCCTCCAGATGGGATACCTTTCGGGAAGATCTTGGACAATCCTAAATAACAAAATCTGTGAAATATGTAGTATGTGTGTGTTCTATTGTGTTCTGTTGTGTTCTTTTAAATACATGTCTATAAGATTCTATAAGTCTATAAGCATAATTTGCCTTTCAGCTGGCAAGGAAAGCCTGGCAGGATGTCACTGACATTTCATTCACACAGCACTATTTCCTCTGAGACAACAAGTTAAAAAATATTGGAATACAGATTTGCAAGTGAATCTATGTAATTAATCTGATATCGTCAATTTTCAAATCATTTCAAATCTTTATACAGGTATAATAGGTAAAATATAATAAAATATAGGTGAAGCTGATGGGAAGCTTCCCAGCGCTGCCGATCTGGCAGCGCTTTCACGCATTCCTCTGTCCAGCGCTACTCGAGTTGATGCCATGCTTTCCACGAGAGCGAGAACGTGGGCCCACTGCCTCGATGAACCCAACGCGCCAAACGCTGCGTTGTAGCTGTAGTCAGAGCACTGGAGTCTTCTCAAAGGAAACTCCTTAGGCACAAAATGGCACAGATTGCACAGCGCACGGCGATTGAAATCAATTGAAATTCACTACAGCAAGACTTTTGAATTGCGGTTGTGACTACAGGGACCTACTGGATTGCAAATTTCATCAAATTTCCCTACTCAGGAGCACAAGAAAACAAAAGAAACTGGACATGTGCAAGTGAAGGTCCGAGAGTAAAGCAATTGCACGTTCCCATTCGCGACCATATCCACAAGATCCAATGGCTAGATTCAGCATAGGAGTGTCGGGAACAAGTCCTTGTTCTTCGCATGAAGCGACGAGGGACAGCGACACATCCCAGCGACCTTGACGACGGCTAGCTTGAATCGCATGGCAGTATGCCATTTGATGTGGCCAAAACCTGAAAATGCTCGACACGGGCACACTGAAAACCCTTCAAATACAGAATTCAATTCCCTTCAATAGCATGGGTGTTGATCTAGGACTTCTAAGATTTAGAAATCTAAACCCTGTACGTCCTGGACCTATTGCGTATAGGTCTTTTGTCGAAAGACCTAAACATCAATCCTGGGACCTATCCAGGGAAGGGTGCTGCAGCAGGGGTTCAAGATGTGCACAGCCCAGAGACATATCATTTTCCACAATTTCTTGAAGAGAAACAATCGAAGATAACAAAATATAGAAGCCGAATGCTGGAGGTACCACCCGGTGCTGAAACTTTGAGATGAAAGCCTTCAAGGGCCTGATGTACCATCATAAATCAATTTCTTGAAGCTGTGATTGTCAACAGCCTGCGCCGCTGAATCAATTTAGAAGAGACTGACAAAGTTTCCAAAACAGAATAGAAAAAATGATTTCAGACCTGACCGTGGACAAAGCGTGGACAAACCGTCGAAAACCCTATCTAGAGTGTGGAAAGACTTATCTAGAGCGTGGACAGGGGTATCAGGATTTTGGGCGTATTTTCATGTTTTTTCTCTTGCAGAGAATTTTAGGATCCCCACCCCCAAAAATGGGCAACAATCTGATCGGCAATAAATTCATGCATGGGATGATGGACATGTTTGTCTTGACTAGTTCATATGCCGACGGGCTCACAAAAACTTAAACATGGGCACGTGAAGGGGGAAAAATGAAATGCGTCAGAAATCGTCAGCATGAACAAAGGTTTCAATCTGGATTCTCTTGCTGGCACAAGAATTCAAAAACATGCAGTTTTAAGGCTATTATATCCTTGGTCCTTGTTCAGGTCTTTTGTTATGCATTTAGGTCTCCAGTCTGGGACCTATCTTGGTTTGGTTTTTGGCATTTTAGGGTTAAAATAATTTATATCTGGGGCTCGCAGCCAAAACACCCACGAGTACATTGCATACCAAATTGTCGGAGGATATTGCATGCTATGTATATATATATTATGTAATATTAATTATATTATATATTATTATATCAACTATAGCAATACCCTAATCATCCTTAACCATTGTTATTGTCTATCCAGGTCTATCCTCCTGTCTGGTGTTCCCTGTTTCGTCACTCACACGGCCTTTGTTCCTTGACCTCGTCCAAGATCTGGAGACACCACTGCCACTGATCCTGTCTTGCCAGGGACTGTAGCGTGAAGTCCAATACACCAACATTCATCCGGTTCCCAACATTCGTCTTGCTGTTTCCCTTGCCAACATTGCCAACATTGCCAACGCCACTTGGACCACTGGCTCCACTGGCTCCACTGGCTCTGAAGAAATCGATTGCCTCTCGCCAGTCAGAGAATTTGGCAACTTTCGAGGCTATGGCTGCCATTGCTGGAAACGGAGCAGCAGGGGCAGCCGGAAACGTGCTCCGAGGATCTTCCACAGTCTTCGGCCAGATATGTCTCAAAGTGTCTCAAACCCATGCAGGCATTTCCAGATTCGATCTGTCATGATCTGTTTACCATTATTGTTTACCTTGTACCCCCCAAAAAAAGCTATCACCGAACACCATTTGATCAACTTGACTCAATCAATGTGAACATGCACGTCACATACAGAATGTAGTTGATCTATTGTGCATATGTCACCTTGCGTAGTCTGTGGATGTCTATGTTACTCTTGTGAAACTCCGAACGAGTTGAGCAGCGAGAAAGCGTGTAACTTCAACATTGTCCGACTGAATAAGACCAACCACAGATCAATTACATGAAAATATCGCTGACATTACCAGTTGATTCACGGAACTGAACAGAAGCTTTCGACACAACAAACACAGTGTCAATACACAACTAGACATAAGAAGAGTTCTGCACAATTCTAAGCAAAGGATTTGAAAGGAGTGGAATACAAGGATGTACAAGGCGAATACACTACAGTACATTCTGGAATCAATGCGGTGTCTCTTGCTTCACGCCTGGACTCACAGCAGCATCTTAGATTCTTAGAATTTTCATGAGGATGTCAAGGATGGTGTCGGTGAACACGGTGAGATGCTTAAATTATCATTGATCTCACTGGGCTCACCGTTGATGAGAGTTGAGGCCCAGTTGAGGTGCCCATCAATGATTGTTTGCATCCCGAATGCCCAGAACTTATGATGACTGAAATATCTTTGAATGGTGCAATTTTGTGAGATGTCTAAATACAGGAACATCAAATAAGATTCATGATATGTACGATATAGTTTATATTATATTATTATTATATAATATCATTATAAATAAGTGTATATATAATCATATGCAAAATGGGAAGGAACGAGATGATCAAACATGCAGAAACAACTTTATAATTTGAAAGAAACTATTATATTTGTTATCTATCTTATCTTTATAATTCTTTGTATTTAGTTCCTCTCTTGCAAATTACCAATGGCCGCTTTCCCCCGAAAGCGCCTTGGATGGAGGTTGCAGCTGGGGATCTTGGCTGCACTGGTTTCGGCAACTGCGGAGTCTGCATGCCTTGCCAAGATTATCAAGATGTGTCAAAAATTCATGACGGAGTGACGGAGTGTCTTGCTAATAACTTGCTTTAAGGCTGCTAAGGGATCTTGGATCTTGGTGTCTTGATGTGTCTTGCCTGAAAGATGGTGACATATTGGTGACATATTGGTGACATCCAACATTCGATGTGACTCTGGTGACTGAGATTCAACCGCCAAGGGATGTATTTTTCTCAGTCCGAAGGGCGTCCTCGCATCTGCTCCCTGGAAGCAATGTCACGCATACCTCATGATGGAAGAGAGCCAATGCTTACAATCTTGTCCGCTTGACGGACTGAAATTCCACAACCACATCAAGTACGGACTACAAAAACTCATTGAAATTCATCAAACTACTACAAATAAATTAGTGACATGTACATGTACTGACATCTACCGACCTATCTTGTTTCCATTCCGGAGAAACAGGACATATTTGTGGTTCAATACGTGGCGTTCTTTGCCCAGAAGATTGACCACTCAAACTAAATTCCTGTGGCTCGGAACAAGGACAAGAGCAATATCTTTGTCTAAAAAGAACATACATCGTCCAAGAGAGCAAATAGATAGCAAATAGTATATAGACGTTAACGAACTCAAAATATCTTGCTTTTGCACAAAGGGGAGTGAGATAGGCACTGGTTCAACTGTAGATAAGTGAAATCATGTGAAATCCCACCTTTACCCATGATGGCCCATCAGTCTCATCAGCCATCAGTTGCCACGCAACTGACAGAGGTGGTCATAGCGTTGCCCACCGCTTTCGATATCACACTTGCCTGATGGGCACTTCTGACATCTCTTGCACTATTGGCTATAGCAGTTCAAATAGTGCTTCTTAGGGAAAATGGCAAACTCATATAAACAATTGAATTGAATTTTCAAGTCTCTTTAAGTCTAGGAATGTCTTGCAAGAAAGGCTTCCTGTAAGGGTTTGAAGTTTACATCAGTTTACCAGATTCCCTCTATTTAAGTTGATTGCGAGTTTATTTTATCCTTGTTTTGCTGTGACTATGACTAGGTTTTCACTGCTAGCCACGCTATCCAATCCGATTCGCAGCTTCCACACCTTGGATCCGATTCTTGACAGTGAAGGCTTCGACGGATTCCTCGAGATCGGGGAAAGGCCTCAAAACGGGCACTGCTACTGACTACCCAGCAGGAACAAAAGTTTGCCAAGCTCAAATTACGCTATAATCTGCTATAATTACGCTAACTTAATCCAGTTTAATCCAATTTATGCCGAGTTGGAATGGACTCTGAAAATAGTGGCACCATTTGCCAGCGCTCTTCCCTCCCTGCAACTTACATCCGCACCAGAGGTAATCAAAAGCCCAGGCACTTTGCTTCGACCCAAACCTGCTGGGAGACTCATCGTCCCTGTACCATCCTGGCAGTTCTGTTAACATACAAAATTAGTCAAAATTATGAGGCAAACAATCCAAAGGAATTAGAATGGCATTAGACAGAGCATGAAAACAAAGTGGTGACAAGCTTTCATTCTGGTTGAACAGGACCACTTCTTGGAAGTGTGAGCCAATCTTTTTGATTTTTCAAGGAGGCAAATGCCTGTTCAATGTCAAGTGACTTTCAATAGAGCGGGAGAGGAGTGGATGTCCAGCAGGCAGGTTTTCTGGTACCTTGCAGACAGCTTCCCAAGAGACAAAACCCTTAAACCATCCCCAAACCTTTCCGTTTCTGTCAGACATCTTCATGTAATGACAATAATATGATAATGTCATGTAATGACATCTATAAATCTATGTCGTTTTTTTTTGCATGGTAACCTATGCCGAATGATCCAACATGTCGCCCAGGCACCGGCAACCAATCCCGGTTCTGTGCCTTGGTTCCTGCACATGGCACAGTCGTTCCACAAATGTGCCCACTGGGTCTGAATGATCTGTCACAGTACAAACTCTGCCCAAGATGTATACTTGGGACATCTTGGGACATCTTGTGACCTGCTTGGCTTCTTCACCACTGCAACACCACTGTTTATGGCAGTTGCTCCGGTCCTTTGGTCTGTTGCTTGTGAATGTGCATCGTGTTGCAACCTCAGAAACATCCTATAGAGCTGGGAATGACTTGCCTGAACACTTAAGTCTTAAAAATAGTACGACCCCTTGCTCGGAGCTTGATGCTCACAACCAACTCCCTGTCTTTTCTACCATCAGGATTTTCAGAGCATTGAGATCCATCGTTTAATTGTCAGGCTGGCACTGGTCTTGCTCCCTACAGGGAAGCGTGACTGTGGCATACTGTGGCTATAATTGTTCCTATGCAGCGAGCAGATATTGTCGTCGTGTGTGCCCTGTCTATTGGCTGGCAAGTTGCTCTATAGAAAGAGAAAGTACTGGAGAGTGTTTTGGGCTGCAGTGTAACAGGTTCCGCCAAGCTACGAACAAGCTGATAGTTGGAAGTTGGAAAGCTTGATCCCGAAGATGATAGTTCCTGGCACGCGCTTCCTGCAACCCTGAAAAAATAGAATGACGATAACATAGACCCGGGCAAGCCGGCGGCGGAAGTTTCCCAAGAATAAATGACCTATAGTTCAAGGCCAGCCTGTCCCGAGCGTGTCCTTCCCTCGACAAGCGGTTTTTTTTCAGCGAGAGACGAAGCAAAGTCTTCACACTCCACACTTCACACTTCACTCTTCGCACTCCAAACTTCACACTCCACAGTCCACACTTCACACTTCTCACTTCTCACTGCTTCCTTCACACTCCAAACTTCACACTCCACACTTCACACTTCGCACTTCACAGTCCACACTTCTCACTTCTCACTGCTTCCTTCACACTCCAAACTTCACACTTCACACTTCTCACTTCGCACTTCACACTCCACACCACACTTCACAGTCCACACTTCACACTTCTCACTTCTCACTGCTTCCTTCACACTCCACCTCACACTTCACACTTCACACTTCACACTTCTCACTTTCGCACTTCACACTCCACATTTCACACTTCACACTTCACAGTCCACACTTCACACTTCTCACTGCTCACTGCTTCCTTCACACTCCAAACTTCACACTTCACACTCACTTCGCACTTCACATTCCACATTTCACACTTCACACTTCACAGTCCACACTTCACACTTCTTACTGCTCACTGCTTCCTTCACACTCCAAACTTCACACTTCACACTCCACACTCCACACTTCACACTGCACTCTTTGCACTCCAAACTTCACACTCCACACTTCACAGTCCACACTTCACTTTCTAGTCATTTATTCTTGGGACACTAATGCCGTCACTTCTACTTCCCACTGTCATTACCTAAAAAGGGGCCAGTCCAAACAGTTACAATACTCATTGTCACTACAGTTACAGCCACAACGGTCATTGTCAAAGTAGTCTTTGTCATAGTATCTATGGTCACAGTAGTCATGATCAGAATAGTCACAGTCACAGTCACATCAGGTATGGTCACACTAATCAAAGTCACGGTGGTCATTTTATGGAGGTTATCAACATACAACCGCACGAACGATGGAATTACTTCACACTCCACACTTCACACTTGTCACTTCTCACTGCTTCCTTCACACTCCAAACTTAAACTTCACACTCCACACTTCTCACTTCCCACTGCTTCCTTCACACTGCACACTTCACACTGCACTCTTCACGCCCCACACTTCACTGCTCTAAACCTACGTGCAACGGCGTCGGAAAATTGTAGCTCCAAAACCGGATCTCGACGCCAGAGCGAAAAAAAGACGATTTTGAAGCACTTTTTAAAAGGATTTTTAAAAGGAAAATTACTAGCGCCAAAATGGAGGAAATCTGCTGACAAATCACTGTCGCAGCCTTCATGCAGCCACTCCAATACGATTTACGAAGTCCAGCTGCAAAAGACAATAGTATTACGCATGCAGCCTCAGCATGAAGCAACCTTGACGCAGCTATTACAATGCGATCTGCGGAGACTGAGTTGCAAAACACAATAGAACTACGCGCAACTGGGTCGGAAATTGCAGGTCCAAAACCGGATCTCGACGCCAGAGCGAAAAAAAGACGATTTTGAAGCACTTTTTAAAAGGATTTTTAAAGGAAAATTACTAGCGCCAAAATGGAGAAAATCTGCTGACAAATCACTGTCGCAGCCTTCATGCAGCCACTCCAATACGATTTACGAAGTCCAGCTGCAAAAAACAATAGTATTACGCATGCAGCCGCGGCACCAAGCAACCTTGACGCAGCCATTACAATGCGATCTGCAAAGACTGAGTTGCAAAACACAATAGAACTACGCGCAACTGGGTCGGAAATTGCAGCTCCAAAACCGGATCTCGACGCCAAAGCGAAAAAAAGACGATTTTGAAGCACTTTTTAAAAGGATTTTTAAAAGGAAAATTACTAGCGCCAAAATGGAGAAAATCTGCTGACAAATCACTGTCGCAGCCTTCATGCAGCCACTCCAATACGATTTACGAAGTCCAGCTGCAAAAGACAATAGTATTACGCATGCAGCCGTGGCAAGAAGCAACCTTGACGCAGCCATTACTATGCGATCTGCAAAGACTGAGTTGCAAAACACAATAGATCTACGCGCAACTGGGTCGGAAATTGCAGGTCCAAAACCGGATCTCGACGCCAGAGCGAAAAAAAGACGATTTTGAAGCACTTTTTAAAAGGATTTTCAGAAGGAAAATCACTAGCGCCAAAATGGAGAAAATCTGCTGACAAATCACTGTCGCAGCCTTCATGCAGCCACTCCAATACGATTTATGAAGTCCAGCTGCAAAAGACAATAGTATTACGCATGCAGCCAAAAGAGGAAGCAACACTTGCAATCCCATTTACATTGCGGGAACGATCCTACAGTTGCAAAGCGCAATGGAATTCCATCGGCAACTCATCCACCAGCAACACTTGCAATCCCATTTACATTGCGGGAAGGATCCTACAGTTGCAAATCACAATGGAATTTCATCGGCAACTCATCCAGGAGCACCACTTGCAATCCCATTTACATTGCGGGAACGATCCTACAGTTGCAAATCACAATGGAATTCCATCAGCAACTCATCCACCAGCACCACTTGCAACCCCATTTACAATGCGGGAACGATCCTACAGTTGCAAATCACAATGGAATTCTGTCGACCACACATGCACGAAAAACAGTTGAAACCCCATTTACAATGCGGAACCGATCCGAGACCATGATCCGAACATATCCGAGCATGATCCGACCACACACGAGACCGTCTCGCACCCGTCGCACCGCAGAGGTAGATCATCGACGTTCGGGGACGGACTTTGTATGGAAAAACATAGGGTTTCGTGCATCTGCTATCTCTCAAAAACGCATTTCGTGCGAGACTTCCTCCAAAACTCCATCGGCAACTCCTCCACCAGCACCACTTGCAATCCCATTTACAGTGAGGGAACGATCCTAGAGTTGCAAATCACAATGGAATTCCATCAGCAACTCATCCACCAGCACCACTTGCAACCCATTTACAATGCGGGAACGATCCTACAGTTGCAAATCACAATGGAATTCTGTCGACCACACATGCACGAAAAACAGTTGAAACCCCATTTACAATGCGGAACCGATCCGACCATGATCCGAACCATGATCCGAGCATGATCCGACCACACACGAGACCGTCTCGCACCCGTCGCACCGCAGAGGTAGATCATCGAGGTTCGGGGACGGACTTTGTATGGAAAAACATAGGGTTTCGTGCATCTGCTATCTCTCAAAAACGCATTTCGTGCGAGACTTCCTCCAAAACTCCATCGGCAACTCCTCCACCAGCACCACTTGCAATGCCATTTACAGTGAGGGAACGATCCTAGAGTTTTAACTCTTTCTTTGACTAACTCTTTCCCTGACTAACTGTTTCTTTGCTAACTCTTTCCCTCACTAACTCTTTCTTTGACTAACTCTTTCCCTGACTAACTGTTTCTTTGACTAACTCTTTGTTTGACTAACTCTTTCTTTGACTAACTCTTTGTTTGACTAACTCTTTCTTTGACTAACTCTTTCCCTCACTAACTCTTTCTTTGACTAACTCTTTCCCTCACTAACTCTTTCTTTGACTAACTCTTTCCCTCACTAACTCTTTCTTTGACTAACTCTTTGTTTGACTAACTCTTTCTTTGACTAACTCTTTCCCTGACTAACTCTTTCTTTGACTAACTCTTTCTTTGACTAACTCTTTCCCTGACTAACTGTTTCTTTGATAACTTTGACTAACTGCTAACTCTTTCCCTCACTAACTCTTTCTTTGACTAACTCTTTCCCTGACTAACTGTTTCTTTGACTAACTCTTTGTTTGACTAACTCTTTCTTTGACTAACTCTTTCCCTCACTAACTCTTTCTTTGACTAACTCTTTCCCTGACTAACTGTTTCTTTGACTAATTCTTTCTTTGACTAACTCTTTCTTTAACTAACTCTTTCCCTGACTAACTGTTTCTTTGACTAACTGTTTCTTTGCTAACTCTTTCCCTCACTAACTCTTTCTTTGACTAACTCTTTCCCTGACTAACTGTTTCTTTGACTACCTCTTTGTTTGACTAACTCTTTCCCTCACTAACTCTTTCTTTGACTAACTCTTTCCCTGACATTCTAAAAGTCCGTAACACGGAAGTTTCTCCCCCTAAACTTCCTTTGATAATTAGTTGAATTTGTGTGGCTTTGGGGCAAGCTGAAGACAAACTACGTATACTCTGCCGCTACTATCGGGCAGCTCTCCTTGGACAGTTGCATGATGGGCAGCGTCCGTGACCTCACTGCACATGTCATATATCTACAACATACTCAAGGTTACTGGAGGACACAACATGCAGTTCCAATCAGTTCCAATCAGTTCCAAACTCCAAGGACAGGAAGGATAAGATGGATAAGGAGGACACGTCAGAAGCCAGGTATTAGAGGCCTTTAGCACATAAGCAGAAGTATACAGAAGTCACATGAGCTTGCTTGTAGAATGTCATGCAGTATGTGCTGTATGTGTTGTTTTGTTGTTTTTAATAGTGTCCAATGATCTCTTCTGCACGTATCATTCGTAATGCATGCAGTAAACCCGTGAGAAGGGTCTCAACCCTTGTGATCTGATGAAAACCCTGAACAAAGTTGGGACGTTCCACGTACCACATTGGGATGTCGTTCCAGCCCTTGTTCCCACAATTATCTAAAAGTAATTCAAAGTACCGAGTCATAGCACTCTTCCGTGTCTTCGGATGTTTTCCGAGTAAGTACTCCTGACATGTTCTGACCAAGCAACCTATGCAAGCGCCTATGGGGCGAGCCCGTGACACTCTGCAGGGCCAAGCTTTTCTCAGTGACACTCTGCAGGGCCAAGCTTTTCTCAGTGACACTCTGCAGGGCCAAGCTTTTCTCGGGCGTTGCAGGAATGCTGGGAATGCTGGGAACGCTCGGGGGCGTTGTCGCCAAAGCCAGCTCCATGATTCGAGAGCGCCAACAGCGGGGGCACGAGGCTAGTGACGTCGATGAGACAAGATCCTTTTTGGGCCAGTGACGTCAAGGCTACAGTGGCTATACAGTGGCTATACAGTGGCTATACAGTGGCTATACAGTGGCTATACAGTGGCTATACAGTGGCTATAACAAAAGCAGATTGTATCCAGCATGTGTTCTGCATTTATAATGTTCATAATATTCTATGATTCTTGCCAGAAACCAAGAGCTATTGTGAAGTTTCTTTCGTGCTGTCGTGCAAGATAAAGACAGGTCTTGAAGTTGGCGTATATTCTTGGAAACTTGTCAGTTTCACATGTATGACCTAAACCATTGTTGCACTAGATTGCAAGGCATGTCGACAAGACTGAGCCAAAAAATGCCAAAGAAGAGATTTGTAAGATAATTTTCAAGGCCATTCTGTTTCGCACCGCATATCGTTCTTTTGCTGAACATATTGGCATCATACAAATGTTAGGAAGAAAGTCGTCAGCTTGGAAACGACAATGTGACACCACATCAACATAATTCTGACCAACCCCCAAACGAAAGCTGTCCATATCTGTCCAAGATCTAAAGAGCCATGAAATATGTTGCGCCATTTTGCGGCGTTGTGGTTGGCTTGCTGGTCCAGGAGCATGTAGGTTGGCTTCATCGTCTCTCTCTTTAATCCATGTTATTGTAGAATGTTCACAATGGTTAACAAGTACCAGGACAAAAACAGCAACCATAGTCAGAATCACAACCACCCAAGTAGATTGTTTGTGCAGCTTACACGGTGAGCCACATACAAAGCATATCAAAGCATTGCTTTCATATTGCTTTCATATCAGACCAACTGCTTAGAGCATTGTTTTCATACCTTTTCCATGGCAGAATGACCAAGAGCACCCCAGCCCATGAGTACCTCTTCTTGCAAAGTCCGGTGACCTCCTGCAAATCAACGGAGTGAATCATCTGCAGGTGTTTGCCGATGTGCGATCGCCATAAAATCGATTAAGTTTGGAAGTTTGGGTATTAGTTGCGCCGGCTGCATCCTGCTGCTTGAGTCTCGAACATCACAACAAATTACGATGTTCGCTTCACCATTATTCATCAAATTCGACATGGTGAAGCGAACATCGTAATTTGTTATGATTGTCATGATTTGACACTAAACTGGTCAGTGGTTCCAAAAGTGATCATTGAATGTCACCTTGTTATGAGCTTAGTACAGCGTGGTGTGGCAAGTGCAACTCATAAGGTAAGGATATCTCGATTTGATCAAAGTGTCCCTTCATACCAACGTGGCGGGACAAGGCTGGCATAGAAGCTCCTGAACATTTCGAAAGAGACTTTGAAAAGCGTTGCCTTCCCAAATTGGCAAGTCTCCTCCAGAAAGAGAAAGTAAGCAAGAAGCTTCACAGAATCTTCACAGAGCAAACAGTGAGGAGGGTGTTTCTACTTTTAACATTGTACTCTTCAAACATGCATTTTCATCTGAAGATGGTTGAAACTTGAATCTGCGAAGGTGTATTGATAAGTTTACATCATTTTCGAAACCTCTCCGTGACCGTATGGAAGTCATGTTGGAAAGAGACACACCTCGAAGCAAGTCGTTCTTGAGAAGGCGGCCTTTTCCGTCCACAAACCTTGGCTTTTCGTCAAAAAAAAATAATATCACAAATCTTCTGGGAACATGTTTTTTTCCTGAGAGTCGACATTTCGAGGTAATTTACAGTAATCATAAATTATAATCATATTATGTAATCCCCAGAGTAATCGTTGGATTCACTGCTTTGCCCAACGCCTCAAAGATCCTCAAAGGCTGCCCAGAGCCTTCCCCAGTCCGCTCGGACTCTCAAAAGAATTGCCTGGTAATCAACTCCAATGCCTTCAACTTTTCTAAGCATCACTTGGAAACATCCCGTCAGGTGCAGAATGAATTCACTCAGAACATCTCGGAACCCTCGCATCGATAAGTGTTGATTAGAAATATGTTTGCTATGTTGCTAGATGTTGCTAGATGTTGCTAGGATCTTGTTATATTTAATGTAGAAGTTATCCCTTTCGCTCAGTCGAGTGGCGGATACTCCAAAGACAGCAGGAAAACCATGAAGGTTCCGGCCGCCCAAAGGTCGACCTGGCTCGTGCAGCCAGCCTAAACTGCCTAATCGATTCACCTGTCGGATGTTTGTTCAACCCATGCATATGCAATTTAGCCAGATTCAACACGGTCTCCAAGCTGCAAATAACATCAAATAACTACATCCAAATAATTGTTCCATATCTAATGATCTAATGTATAATAACATAATATATCATAATATAATGATACAATATATGATACAATAAATAATAATTCAGGTAATGACATGCCCTTTCCAATCCTTTTCTCGGTTTCAACATTTCCCAAATTGAAAACTCACTTCTGACTTGCCTATCCCTGTAGACCCTGGAGGCCGAGGCCCTGCCTTTTGGTCATAGCCAGCAGAACGGGGTAACATGTGCATCTCTGGTGCCTCAAAGCCATGTGTTTCTTCAGCGCCGCAACTTCATGCTCCTCATGTTTGGTTGGACATGTTAATGTCATATTTTATCGTATTTTCTCGTATCTGGTCATATTTATCATTTTTATTCATTTTCATCAATCCAAAACTCACTTCAGAAGAGAGAAATTGATAATCCATATATTCCATATCCAAAATCAAAAAATCTCCGTGATAACTCTGGGCTTCAGGCCATGAATGCCGGTGTTCCTAGCTTTTCACTCAGCAGCTTTCCAGGAGTGAAGCGAGTTGCCTTGGACTCGCCACGGTGCGCTACGAAGAAAGGTCAACACGGTCGTGCCACGGTCGTGCCACGTTCGTGCCACGGCTTAACTCAATTGGTTTCACGAGTCACGAGTCCTTAGAGATCCTTAGAGTAATTCTTCAATGGAATGTACAGCTTAGATCTCAGGTAAAAGCTGAAACTGGTAACAAATCAGGAAGAGGCAACCAGTGTCCGGGGTGACAATAGGATCACATCAGTTCCTTTGTGCGCATCATGGGGAAACCCGTACATTTGCCTTCTGTCGTGTCACACTCGTCAACTTACGCAAGAAATTCAGAATAAACCGTGTTGGGAAGGGTCCTATCATGTCCTATCTAATTAGGGGTCTTTGGCCTTTGCATTTTCCTGCTCCTTCAATACGTTGTTCTCCCATCTTTGTGCCATCAGCATCGCTCTTTACACAGCTGCAGTAGACTGCGTGTTTATTCTGAAGGAGAGAGTAGGAGAGAGAATGTTGATGGATTTTGTGTGATTTTGTTGTGTTTCAAGGAACTCCCAATGAATTTGACCACTCCAAGTCACAATGCCAAAGTCTCCAAGGCGAAGCCTCGCTTTTGGACTTTGTACTTTGCCTGCGAGCATGGCAGGTTTTGTCATGCCGGCCGGGTCTAGTGAGGAAGGCAAGACTTCCCGACTTCACAACTCTTAATTCTCTGAGTATTATATAGTATTATTGGGTTCAAAGCTCTGAGTATTCTCGGATCATGGCAGACGAGGACACCCTGCAACGTAGTCAGGTCTGAATCTTTGCAGCGCAATCAACCAGAACCATTCAGCTAAGAGATAAGAACCTGATAAAACCCAAGTCGGAAGCTAGAAATGATTGCTGCAAACGTGGTAGAAACATGTAAACGATATGTAAAAGGTTGTCAAAACATGTCCGTCCGAGACAGGGCGCCACTCACCTGAGAGCATCGCATTTTGCGGTTTGATGTCCCGGTGGCAAATCTGCTTGGAGTGGAGAAAAGCAATGCCGGACCTTAAAGCGACGGGAAATTGAATCAGAATATATTCCAAATATATGTCTGTAATCTCAACAATGACTCGCTATGACACACTATCCAGTAGTTTATTTGCGAAATCTGTTTGCAACAATTTTATTTTGAACTCATGAACTCTGCACAAAGAGGGAAAAATGTGTGCGCACATTCAAATCACTTTGAAGGACGGTGCTTGACTTTCACTAGATGAACCAGCTCCAATCAAACACGAAATACTTGAAAGAGTACTATGATGAGCAATTGTTCGGACGCAAATGAGACTTGCTAGTTACTGGTAGTTGCTGCCAGCTGTCAAGCAATGTCAAACAATGTCATATGGTTTTCACTAAAGTTTTCACATGTTTTCACTCGTGTTACAGGTGCCAGTTCCATGACGAGCTCCACTGAGTTCCATGCAAAAGCTGACTCATGAAATCCGCTGCTCGACGTTCTGAAAATCCGCCCTCAAGGGTTTTTGCAGCTTCCTGCAGGGACAGTGGGACAGTGCAACTGTAGTATTCTGTAGTGTTTCAGAAAGTCTTGTCCGATCACATCAGCATTTATGAACAAGAATGGTGGGATGCATCCGTCTTACGTATTTTTTTTTCAATATATCTGCCGACCCCAGCCATCTGCAGGGGGAGCGCGCCCGAGAAAAAGTGCCGTTAAGGCCGAGTGGCTTCAGAAAGCGATGTTGACACCTGCTTCAGAAAGCAGCGCAATACTTCCTTTGTTTTCACCATTTGCCCTCAAGTTCCAAGCACAGACATATCTCCAGATCGATGATAGAATGCTCTCCCGGAAATGTTCACCAAGTCATCGAGCAGATCTATTACCAAAAATGATACCAACCGGAAGTAGGCTTTTAAATGGTTACAGCGTGCCACAAAGGGAAACCAGCTCCTCCAAATTCCCTCCATCGCAGTATTCAACCAACAGGTGGAAGGATGAGCTAGTGTCCTGCGCAGAAGATGCTTTGCATATGAAATCAAACAACACGTTGATCTGGTGTGCAAAAACAAACTGCACAACACAGAAAACAGAAAAACTTGAGGTACAAGTGATTCCGAGGTGGTTGGCATGTTCATGATTTTTGGAGTAACTCCTCTGAAGGGGGAATCAGACATGCATTTCTAAATGAGCAACCAAGTGCTTCTCTACCACGGACAAAAAGCTCCCATTTCTTTCTGAGCCAATTGCTGTCATTCAGCTTGGTGAGCCAGGATGGTATTCAGTGAGATAACAATTGAATCGAATCAAAGTTTGGCAATGCAACTGGCTGAATGCTTGCAAAACACTTAG